CAGGATAATGGGGAGATTGGAGATGAGAGTTGGGTAGATGGGTGAAGGGTGCAGGTTACTATTTGTAATTTGGGTTTATCAGAATATTAAGATAATTTGTATTGTTTGATAGACTGTTGTATGTTTCTTTTATTATTTATGTGTAACCTGTCCCAAACCAATACCTATGTTTAGTGTGTTGTATGTAAATTATTTTTTGTATTTTGTGATAAAACTAATAAAAATTTATACAAACTAAAAAAAAAGGAATGTATTACTGTAGTTAGTTAATGTTTTAGTTACTATGTCCTCTTTGTCAGTCACACCCCCTCCTTTTTATTTTTTATTATTTTCTCTTGAATTTATACCACTGGTGTAAAGGGAGGGGGCAAAGTACTAGACTTAAATTCACTCATGGAGTTATTTTTCTTTTTTTTGTTGTTGTTGTTGTCAATCTGTGTTTTTATTGCGGTGGAAGATGACGTGCATGCCATAGAAAGACATATCCGAATGGTAAGACAATACAGTATAGTTGTATGTAGTATTACTTTACACACTAGGGTAATTACTGCAGATATAAACAATGGAAACCAGATCCTATGAACAATCAAAATTATATAAACATAAAAAATGGGGACCCTATTATTATTATTATCGCCATTTATATAGCGCCAACAGATTCCGTAGCGCTTTACAATATTATGAGAGGGGGGATTTAACTATAAATAGGACAATTACAAGAAAACTTGCAGGAACGATAGGTTGAAGAGGACCCTGCTCAAACGAGCTTACAGTCTAGACTTTCATGAGTTGTACTAGAAATACCAGTCAACATAGGGATAACGTTTGGCTCACTAGGGCAAAATATGTATTGTACAGAAATTTTATTCTACCTAAAAAACACATATGAACTGAGTTAAAGCAATATCTGTGAAAGGATTATGAAGGAATATCTGTGAAAGGATTATGAAGGAACGAGTATAAGTGAACGTATAACAGGAGTGGTTGTTTTGCTATCTGAGCAACACAGTATGGGAAGCATTACCAGATACAGTGAGCACTTATTACTATACTCGTAGGCAATGTATTAAGCCATAACCAAGGGGGTAGCAGGAAAATCTCACCAAAGAAGGTTGGTACAGTGAACTTACTTTGCACTGCACAATATAGAAAAATTAGGCTTTAATTGGGTAATAGGACTCATCAATAATGAGATGAACCATTACATAATAATGGGGAAAAACAAAAACATGAAAAATAAAAAGTCAGAAGGCATGTAATGGGACATGAGTGGGTAACCAGCTGTTGCAGACCTTTGGGTAACATTCCGTTCAGGTTCCAGAATGATCCTCCACAGCACTTTGAGGTGGCATAACATTAGTCGGATCCAAGTTTCTGTAAAGAGCGTGGCTGAGATTCGGGGACATTTGGTGGAGGAAGGCACAATGCTCTAAATAGTGCGGGAGCTTCAGCAACAGATAGACATATAGACAGTTCCTTGACGGGTCATGAGCAGAAATGTCAAAGGGCTCCATCAATAAGCAACTCCAGCCTCCCTAAGCGTAGTAGTCACTATGTTGAGCGACCTACACCACTGGAGCATGGCCCTGGTGAGGTTGTGGAAAAAGGTAAGATGAGAGTTTTCACAGGGGTATGGTGTCTTACCCCTAACGGCTACCATGAAGTGTCCTTTATCCTGGACAATGTTACACCAGCCGGAGCACTAAAAAATATCGGGAGGTGATATGCTCCCCCAACCGTAAATTATTTAGCCAGATTCGGGGGCAAGATCGCTGTAACAAGGCATCTTAAGTAGTGCGGCAGTTCTTCCGAGGCAACTGTGTCAGGTATGCCCCGTATTTTGATGTAATTCCTCAATGGAAGACATTTGTATAGTGAGCCCCTGATTAGGGAATTGACCTGAGTGAGCTTATCCTGCATAACAGAAAGGTATGGACAAATATCAACATTCAGATAAGCAGGTCACCATGAAACACTTGTGGGGTAGCCCAAAGTGGAATAGCGCTCGAGGCTTGAGCAATTTAGAATTAATTCAGAGAAGCAGATGGTGTCCACTCTCCCTCATAAGCAAGCTCTCCCCCTCCCCCCAACACCCCACATTTTTATTTATTTTACTGTTTTATTAATTATTAATTTTTAATAATTTTATTAACTGTTTTTGTACGGTTGTATTAATTTATGCTTAAGAAAATAAAAAAATAACAGCTATGTCTGCAATCTGTTGATCCAGCAGGATGTAGATAAGGAGTCATTCATTATCGACATGTGGTCAATTCATATTGGAGACTCCTATTAAAAGTATGTCCGTGTATAAAATGCAAATACAATAAACTCATTGCAGCACTCACTCATTATATTATACCTATTGGATTAAAAACATTTTTTTCTAATGACACATATAATTTTTTGGGGAAAAATAGTTTAATTAAAAAACCCCAAAACATGGCATATTTTAAACATAAACTATATTTAAAATATACATAATACACCCTACTTCTTAAATCATATATTTAAAAAAAAGCATTAAAAATTACGCAAAGGGAAAAAAAGTTCTTCACAAAAGCTAATAAAGAGAAGCTATTGGCCACCAAGAGGAGCCTTTCATTCTGTTCTATAGAGTCTGGTAGTATCCTAGTAACACCCGTCCTACCATTTATGAGATTTAAAGGTTTATATTATTATTATTTTATTATTTATATAGTGTCATCACATTCCGTAGCGCTGTACAATGGGTGGACTAACAGGACGTACAGGAACAGAGAGGTAAACCCCTGGGATTCTCAGCCTGCAGATGTTATCCATGTAGGATAAAACAAACAATGATAATGCAGAAATGTTTCAGTAAAGTGAAACTTGGATCTGTCACTACAGCAACCAATGGAATGCTTTTGACTGAGGGACGCACATAAGAGGCTACACGATTATGCAACACTGAACATGGCTGCCTGTACTTAAAAAAAAAAAAAAAAGATATTTGGGGGCCTGACCAAGATGGATGCATGAACCCACAGTAGACATTAAGAGGACCATTCACATGGAATGGCGGGACTCCACGTTAATCTGGCGCAATTGCAAGGCCGCATATCTGCACTGGAGACACAATACTCACACTAGGAGCAGAGACATAGGGCAACTGAATTGGCGGCAACAGGGCTCTAACCTGCTGGGAATGAGACTGCATGTAGAAGAAATGGACAACAGATGGAAAAGGTGTAATGCCTGCATTAAGGACCTAACCAGTCCCTGAGTCACTTATGGAGATGAATTATTTGACAGGGGGGGTGGAACAAACAAACAAAACCTTTTCCAGCCCACGAGTGAGTGGGGGTGTGGGTAAAGGCTTTGACACCCACAGGGAAGGAAAAGAGGTAGGATACCTACATTAGTTATTCAAAAAATGATATTGAATTAATTTCACAGTGAATATAAAATTCATTGCAGTGTACTTTTCCATAATATTGTTTAAAGAGGCTGTTGGTTCCTACAAAGAGCTGCTTTTTTCCATCCCAGCAAACCATAGCGACCACGTCTGCATCTGTAGGCTTTTACACAGGCCAGAGAATAATGATTAAGCTCCAGAAAGTTCCAAATTTACAAGGAATTTTTTTATATTTAGCTAATAAACCTTTTTTTCAAGGACAAAACTCAGGTCAGTGTCAGACATAAACACCAGAATGATTAACACCCAACAAAAAGGTAAGGCATGTAGACCTTTTTAGCACAGTGTGAGTGACAATCAAAGCGTGTGTAATGGAGGAAGGATTCCTACATAATTGCAGCACGGTCTTGCATTTCTAAAGACTTCTGCAGAAGTTCCACTGTGTTACATCAATGTACTTAATCATGGAAACAATTAAACATATAGTTCCTTGATTTAAATAAAAAGTGAGCACGCTTTGTAAAAAACAAACAGGCGTCTGTAAATATTCATTCATTTTAGCTATCCAGTTCTGGGTCCCAGAAAGATCTACTTTGATTGGTCTAAGAGGTTTTATAGTGCTAATTACTTTCATTCAGCTACCTATCACTGACCTATGACAATATAAGGGGTACAGTGGTATCGTTTTTGCATTGGATATCTCCCCACTATCCTTCCTAGGAGGAAGTATGGAATATTGGAATCTCAGGTAAAGACTAGGCACGTAGAGGTGAGAGAATCCAAAAAGTGGGAAAGGAATTTGCATTTGGGCACAGAGCTTGGCATAGATGGGCAAGGTGGTCACAGAATGGACCGAGCTGAATAAACTGGCATATCTGAATGGCATGCAATGAAATTCCCCAGGGCATGGGTGTATCAAGATACTAAAATCTACACGTTTAATAAAACGTTCAGTATACCAACCACGGGGAGGGCAAGGAAACTCGTCTACCTCCCTTTCTGCTGGCTTTAGTGCTATTTCCCATGTGGATATCTTTCTTTTCCAGATAAAAGCTGACCTAGAGTTTATTGGGCTTTATTTATCAAACTCAGAATTGCAATGAATCAAATCCAAATTGCAAAACTTGGCAATAGTGGAATTGATTTTTTGGTGTAAATTGAGCCATTTGGAATGTAATTCAGTGTAATTTGCAGGATACGGAATAACCCTGCATCTAATACGAATTCTGTTTTCTATATCAAATGTCCCAACTTCCTTTATTTTAGCAGCCATTTCTCCACCTATTTTCCCAAGTTTAAATCTTGTGAAACACATATTCATTGCACACCAAGCGAGAGCACAAAAAGCCCATCCACGTGGATTTCTCAAATCTTCAACACGTTCAGTATGTATAGATAAGAAACGAAGTGACATTTTATAACCCCAGGTATTTCGGTACTTTGGCAACAGATACCAATTTAAACTTTACATATGTGTCATTCCTAACAGATAAATATGCACAAAGAATGTTCCTTCCTGTATTAAAAAAAAACCAAGCAAACGGTCTTTTAAAGCAATTGTTTCTGTCGTAGCAAAAAGCTTGTCAGCAAGGAGGAGGAAATGGTTAATCTGTTGAATAAGAAGTAGAATTGTTACAGCCAGCCCCAAAATAAACTGCTTTACTACATGACCGCCTAGCTGTGTCCAAACATAGTTACTAACTCTGCCCCTTGTACACATACTCTGTGATCTCACACGCACATACATAGCGAGATCAGAATTAGAATCTTACAAACACAGACACAGACACACAAAAAAAGGCATTCACACACTGATAAGCTATCGCCTGCTTGTTCAAACACGTAGTAGGGAAACAGATCACTGGAAGCAAATTTAAGAGAATGGAAAAAGTTTGCAGGACTTTTTCACACTCAGCTATACACTTTTGCACTAGGAAATGCCAGCGCTATCAACAAACTCTATGCCAGCACTGATTCCCATGGCAATAGCACCCAAACACACACGGCTCACACTGGCACATCATTCACAAACAGCTTTGGGTGTCTCTCCGCAAATTCACCTTATATTCAGCAGGAACAGGGATCTGCTTTAATTACACACAAACATAACGTACAGCACTAGTTAGAACATAATTACCTACAAAACAATATTCAGCTACGATAAGGGCTGGCAAGAGAAGGTCCAAAGTCTGTGCGTCTTGGAAGAAGTGTCCCATCCAGAGAGCTAGGAAGAAGGGAGCACCATGGCAATTAAAGGGAGAGGAACCCTGCAACAAAGAGCAAATTTGGACATATGCCTCCTTGCGAAATCAAAGATCCTACAGAGATTTTTAATATTTCTGACTGGAATGGCGATCCTGGGGATGCTGCTCACCTACAAGGTCGTGGTGTTTAACCGATCGCCACAGGAAACTCCCGAAGACTATGACAGGTAAGATAGCGTGTGTGAATACAGTGTAACAATCCAATTCAGCTAGACAGTAACTGTTCACAAAGACCTGTTGTCTTCAGTTAAATGCATTTTTCAGCTGCAGCTTCCTCCTCTGGCAAGCCACCCGGAGTCTCCATTCAGTGAGATATGATCGATATCATCTCTCCGCAGCAGGACAATTTAGGAAACTTAGTCACAGACATTTTTTTTATGGAGTAACGTTTTCCCAATAATGAGGGTCAGAACACAAAGAGGAAATGTTTTGCTGGGAAAATTATTATTATAAAAAACAAAAACAAAAACATTCTATTGTATTCAGCTGCAAAGAAATAAATGTTAGTAAACGGTCAGCTTAAAATAACACAGCAGATGGATTCTTGTTTCAATACACGTGTGAAGGCTAGATTTGGGGGGATAGCTCTGCTATACAAACTGTTAGAATCTTGAGTTCTCTTACATTGTGTCTGCATCGCCGAACTATCCAGGCTGCTCCAAACTCAGCTTTCCAAGTTTAAAAATTCAGTTTCTCTCTTTTTTTCCCACTAAACAAAAGTAAATGTATTTTTCCATTAAGCCCTTGTCTGATTTCACTTTATTTCGTATAAATATACTTCGCTGTATTAAAGAGAACTTAAAGGGACACTATAGTCACCCAGACCACTTCAGCGCAATGAAATGGTCTCGGTGCCAGGTCCCTCAGGTTTTAACCCTTCACATGTAAACATTGTTTCATTGCAGGGTTAATCCAGCCTCTAGTGGCTGTCTTCCAACGTGCAAAACGTCTATAGGAAAGCATTGCGCATTGCCACGCATGCGCATTCCGCTCCACTCAAGAGCTGATGTCAGCAGGGGAGGAGAGGTCACCATTAAGGGGATTAAGGGGTTTTAACCCTTTCAACGCCACGGGAGGGGGACCCTGAGGAATTTCTCTTGAATTCGGCTTCTGGGGACACTACTGCGGGGTCGTCCCCTAAGCACATTGATAAATACAAACACGTTATGCAAGACCAACACCAAGCAGTGACAGCACTTACACAGTGTCCTACGCATGCGCAGACCTGGCTCGTGCTTTGCTCTCTCCTGTCCCAATTAATAAGCAACATATGCTTACCATGACTGCTGAGCGGTATATTACAACTTTCATATGTTCTATATTTAATCACTAAACCGTGAGTTTTGGTTATACTTAATTTATAAAACATTGAGGTGAAAATTGAAGAACTACAACGAAATATCTGCTGCGGAGCTGGGTTATTTTGACCTCATTTTTGTAAATTAATGTCATTCTCACCACAACTTCCTGTTTAGTAAATAAACTGCATATAATCTCTGACAACATGTGCTGAAGCTGTTCCACCAACTACATCAACCAAGAGCAGCGTAATTAAAGGTCCAATGGCAGGGGTGTGATAAAGACAATGTATTCCGTGTACACCCTGCTTGTAGTGGACGGCCCATGCTGGCACTTTATAAATGAAACAAAGTCAAAATACACACAGATTGGGAGATATGCAAAGTATACAGTGAGGGAGCAAATCTTTGGTCTGGTACTGAATGTTAGAATGGTTCCAGAGTAAAATGCTTCATGTAAACCAACAGAAGCTGATAACCTCTGAAAACAGGTTATCACGGTATCCATTTTTTGACAGCACTATGCAGACGCTTTTGTAAAACAATCAGAACATAAAATACAGTATTTGGAACATTACAGGGCCATGTGTTTGTAGCTAGCCTTACGTGATAAGGGGCCATCCACTGCTCAAATAAAATTAATAAAATCAACGTTTAGTAGATATACCCCTAATGAAAATGTGTATTTATTTAATTATACATTTTTCATTTGGGGCATATCTAAAAACAGCTTCCAAAAGCTGCATGTCCACAGCCTCTGTAAGCCCTCCCCTTCTAAGCCCGCCCAGACCATCTGTTGCTGTCCAATCACAGACTTCCCAATGCAGTTCAATGAGAAGTCTTTGCAAGGCAGGTGCTCTGGGCAATTGCTGCCTCTTTATTTTGTATTCGCTGAGCTAAACAAACCAGGAAGTAACAGGAGTGATTGAATGTCTGATAGCAAGGGGGTGTAAAAAGGTTAATATATAAAAAAAATCAGTTTTTATTGAAATCTGCACTTTTTCTAAAGTGAAAAAAAGAGGACACGCTCTTCACACATAACGCTTTTTAGCAAGCTGAGGTACTTTAGGGGTCTGTAGTGTTCCTGTAATGTATAACCATTGTTAATTATAGTAATTAAAAAAATGTAATTACTCATTATTTTGTGTTTTTTGTGATTTAACACATTAACATGTTTCATGCTATGTCAGCGTAGAGTACACAATCAGGAGTATTCATGAGAATAATTGGCTTTTCACTGTGAACTTCAAACTTGAGTTAGCTGTACCATAAACACTGAGAACGTGTATCATTTTTCATTGTGATACATTTATCATTTATCATTGTTGTACTTTGATAAATAACACTATCAGTTTTAGCAAAACCAGATTATCCTATAATCGTACATCTCAACACATGGAAAACCAAGTAATCAAACAAACACTGGAGACACAGGTATTCCATGCCTACATTCTTCTTCAATGACAGAAACTACTTTAAAAACAGGCATATCGGTATCTTCCGAGATATAAACTATTGTATCATGGCTAAATCTCTAACAAAATACTTAAAAATAAACGTTCCCTACATTTCTCCTAAAACACGGGTACATAGTGCTGTATGTGAGGGCTATCATGGACATGAAGAGACTGCTTTGCTAGTCCAGACCTGCGTCTTGCTTAAAGCAGTTTTAATATTTAGTAGAATGTACTTTCCATGTTAGTATATCAATCCAGCTCATTTTTGTCATACAATCTCAAACACACTGCGTTTTTTTATTTCTCGTACAGAACCTTCTCTGTGCCATTCTCAGATCTTTTCATGTTTATCAGTCCCCCAAAAGTAAACATTTCATTAGTAATGGTCAGTATTTGAAACAAAAAGGATGTGTGAAAAGCTGAAACCATACATAGAGAGATTTACCTATTATTAAATATCTGATGAGATTAATCTAACAGCAGGTTTCTACATAATGCTAATCTGTACTAGGAATGACTCCTCAAAATGAAAAATACCCACATATTTTCTTTGAGTCGTACCCTGCCTATCACATATCATGCACAATATTTCATTAACTTCCTCTTCATAATTGCACCAGACAGATATTTTGGGCTGGAGATGATCCACACCATTTCTGACAAGGGCACGTTTTTTAACGCAAGGCTGCAGAGACAGCATCTGTTATTACAAATGACTTTGCTATAATGACCGCCGTGCTGTCCCTTTAAAATTTAACAACTGACACCACAATCCAGTTACGCCGTGGCTCACGCTGCTTTGGGGGAGGAGAAATTGAAACATGCTGTATTCCATAACAAGGATAACAAAAAAGAAATGACGTCCACATTTGTCGAAAATTTATATAATTAACTTCAAAAGCAGTAATAACCGCACGATGGGCTGGCTGTGGGCATCTGGGGGACCCTTGGTTTGTGTGTAACTCTATGAAAACGGTGTTGCAGAGGGCCAGGGTATTCTGGCATCAAAATCACTGTAACTTTTTATAACTTTTAAACTTTCTTTATTTCTGTATTTTGCAAGACAAGATGCTCATGGAGATAGGCACATAAATCAATGTATAACAGAAAGGAACAAAGTCCAATAAGAACTAACGAAGAAGAATAGATTAGAGTTTGAGAGCAACATAATATTTAATAGGGTTAAAAGATCACTATAGTGTCAGGAAAACATAACGGTGCCCCCACCCTCAGGGTCCCCCTCCCGTGGCACTGAATGGGTTAAAACTCCTTCAGCAGCTTACCTTATTTCAACGCCGGGCTCCCACGCCGACGTCAGCGGAGCCGCAAGTGCCGCGCGCATTCAAAGTGTCCATAGGAAAGCATTTTTCAATGCTTTCCTATGGACACTCTGTGCGATGGAGGCATAATATGCCTCCAGCGTCGCAGATGCACCTCTCGTGGCTGTCCGGAAGCCAGCCACTAGAGGTTGGCTTAACCCTAATGTAAACATATCAGTTTCTCTGAAACTGCTATGTTTGCATCTAAAGGGTTAAAACCTCAGGGACCTGGCACCCAGACCACTTCATTGAGCTGAAGTGGTCTGGGTGACTACAGTGTCCCTTTAAAGAACGCAAGGCGATTCTAAGTCATTCAATGTGCTCACCAAGAAAGAGCCGGTGTATCTTGTCAGGATCAGAGATGACGATAATATGCATACATTTGCGAACTCTTAGTGATAAAGCAAAAGCTTTATTCGTGTGTGACAATGGGCACCTACTATGAGAAGCTGAGTCGCGCCATTTAATTGATGATTATGCTAGCTTTAGTGTACTAATAATCTTAAGTTTAGTAATGACAGGAGGCAAGTATTTCACTAACTCCATAGCAGCGCAGAAACATATAGAAAAAAGAACAAATCACAAGAGAGTAGGATGTACATGAGGTGTAATGACCGAATCATTTCCTCTTTCAGAAGGAAATAAACTTCCCGTGAAGTCCACACAAACAGCCAAAATGTTTTCAGAGACTAAAAAATCCGAAGGAGTAAACTTACAGAGAATTTCACACGAACAACCAAATGTCTTCAGTGACGAATCATACTGAAAAGAGAATGTGCGACAGGTTTACACACATAGTCATCAACATGGAAATCCACGTACCGTATACATCCCATAGCAGTAAATTGTAAATTACAATCTGATAACTGAATAACTAAAATGTAAAACTCCAGTGGCAATTCCAGATCAATGGAAATACAAAACATTAAGAGCCCAACCTACCTTAGACCAGTGATACATACAAAGAAAGGGTGGCCTAGCGAAGCAGGGAGGGAAAATACTTGCCTCCTGTCATTACTAAAATTAAGATTATTAGTACACTAAAGCTAGTATAATCTTCAATTTTACAACATGATAGGAGGCGAGTATTTTGCATTTTGAACTCTGAGAAAGGAATAGAAAATTAATGAAGAATCCGAAAGTGTGATAAGATACCTAGAACGTCGGGCTAAGGGAGAGCCACCAGATCAAACATAAAAGTCATGCCCAGTCCCGTAGAAAAACGTAGAACGACCTCCACATCCTATAAGCCGGAGGTGGATGACACTGGGTGGCTGGTACACAAGAGGATCCTTGTCCATCGGGAGTCCCCAGACCGGGACACGGGCCGTAGAACTGTCCAAAATGGATCAAGGTTCTGTTCCAAACATCAATCAGACTAAGAATGCCCACATGGAGAGGTAGCATCGTAATGTCCCTGGGGCTCAAGAGACTCCTAAAAGGTCCCCAGCAGCCTGCGATAGTCGGCCGATCTGCTAAGAACCCCAGAAAGAGTCAAGGCCACCAGACTCAGGCTCAAGATAATGAGGGGGGCACACCTACTGTCCTCTCCCCAGGCCCCCACCCCTGCGTGGTGGGTGGCGGCCCTACATAACAATGGGGGGGTACCTACTGTCCTCCCCCCGGCCCCCACCCCTGGGCGGCGGGTGGGGGCCATAAAGATAATGAGGGATAGGACCTACTGTCCTCCCCCAAGCCCCCACACCTGGGTGGCGGCCATAAAGATAATGAGGGGGGACCTACTGTCCTCCCCCCCACCCCCACGCGGTGGGTGGAGGCCATAAAGATAATGAGAGGGGGGACCTACTGTCCTACCCCCACCCCTGAGCGGTGGGTGGAGGCCATAAAGATAATGAGGGGGGGACCTACTGTCCTCCCCCCCCGGGCCCCACCCCTGGGCGGCTGGTGGGGGCCATAAGACAAATTCCCCCCCCCTTCATTCACCCACCCAAATAAAAACTATCCCCTACCTACCCCCCTCACCCTAAAAATAGTGAGGGGGGAATAAAATAACTAACCTGCAAAGAAAAATAAAACTTACCAAAAACCAGACGCTAAAAAAAACCCAATCCATCTTCACCCATGGAGGGCTCTGCGCAGACTGAGCTCTGCAGGGTGGGGGAAGGCTTATAAAGCCTTGCCCCGCCCTGCAATGAGGCTGAGAGCACTCTGATTGGTTGGTTTAAGCCAATCAGAGTGCTCTGTGTCATTTTGCACAGAGTGGGAAAGTTCTTTGGAATTTTCCCACGCTCTGAAATTTGACTCATAACTCTCTGATTGGTGGGCTTGAAATCCATCCAATCAGAGTGTTATGAGTCAAATTACACAGTGCGGTAAAATTCTAAAGGATTTTTTTTAAAGTTCGACGGGTATGATGGTTTTTTATTTGGCCTCTTTTGGGGCTGAAAAATGAAGATTTTAGAAGAAAGAAGACATCAAAAGGTAAGTTTTATTTTTATTTACAGGTTAGTTATTTTATTCCCCCCTCACTATTTTTAGGGTGGGGGGGGAAGGTAGAGGATAGTTTTTATCTTGGTGGGGGGGGGGTGACTGGGGGCCGGGGGGAGGACAGTAGGCCCCCCCCTTCATTATCTTTATGGCCCCCACCTGCCGCTCAGGGGTGGGGGACATGGGGGGAGGACATTAGGTCATGCCCCCAATTGGTATTTAGGGCCCCCACCCACCGCTCAGGGGTGGGGGCCAGGAGGGAGGACATTAGGTTTCCCTCCACAGTTTTAATTTAAGGCCCCCACCCACCGCTCACAGGTGGGGGCAGGGGGTAGGACATTAGGTCCCCTCCCCAATTTTTATTTAGGTCCCCCCTTATTGTAATTTAGGGCCCCCACCCGCAGCTCAGGGCCCCCACCTGCAGCTCAGGGGTGGGGGCCAGGGGGAGGACAATAGGTCCCCCCCCTTATTCTAATTTAGGGCCCCCAACCGCCGATCAGGGGTGGGAGGACAATAGGTCCCCCCCTTATTGGTATTTAGGGCCCCCATCCGCCGCTCGGGGTTGAGGGCCAGGGGGGAGGACAATAGGTCCCCTACCCCCTTATTCTAATTTAGGGCCCCCACCCACCGCTCATGGGTGGGGGCCGGGGGGAGGACAATAGGGAACCCTTTTTTTTAATAAAACATGAACCAACTTGCGGTATAGTGAGTAGAGGCATAATTTACTAATACTAAGTAATCTTTACTTAGTATTAGTAAATTTGGCAAATTAGTAGATAGCTCCCTAATACCATGGGAATTAGGGATTTATCTACTTATTCATTCCTGTCATTACATGACTGGCCAAGTAACTTACATTTTATATGAATGTGTGTTACTTGATTGTTGTAAGTGTTGCAAATGCTTACAGCTGAATCCTGGCTATGTTTGTATACTTTTTATTGAAAATTTTATACAATGTAACATTCTTCTTCTTTCACTGGGTAAGTATATTAGTACTTAGGCAATACATTGTACTTCCTTTTGCAGCCCTCTAGCCCTTTCCAGGACTTTTCTAGTGCCATTTTAGTGCCCAAAAGTTCGGGTCCCCATTGACTTCAATGTGGTTCGGGGTCAAGTTCGAGTCCCGAACTTGACCTTTTTGCCGAAGTTCGGCCGAACCCAGCAAACCCGAACATCCAGGTGTCCGCTCAAATCTATTTAGCAATGGTTTCCCCCTAATCTGGATCCGCACTGGACTCAGATGATCCACTGGTAATCCAGTGACAAGCTTCTGCAGAGCCGCATCTGTTACCATTCATTGGCTGAGACTTCATGCACAATGACCACTTCAAATAACCTTTTAATATCACGGTATAGTACGTGGGAGGGGGCTGCGAGGTAATGAAATCACCCCGGTGCTTGTTGTGATGTGGTACGTGATTAAATTGCTAAAAGGTTTGCTAAAGATTATAAATGTGTATAAATTGATATATTAACATAATTCATTTAAAACAAATAGGAGGTTAATTTTCACTATTTCACTTTAATTTGAAGAATTTAAAATATCGTGAAACAGTAAATGTTAAGGATGAGTTTATTGTTATGATTTGGTAAATCGTGTGCCTGGGCTTTATTTTAGCTGACTGCTTATAAACTGGAACCAAAGAGCTAGAGAGACAGGAAATTCTATTCATTACTTCCTCTTCAAGCAGATGTGTCAAGGGTGTGTGTGTGTGTATTTATATATATATATATATACCCATACATAAATGAGAAAAATTTTCTATTCATGTTGAAACATTAAAGGACCACTCTAGGCACCCAGACCACTTCAGCTTAATGAAGTGGTCTGGGTGCCTGGTCCTTCTAGGGTTAACCCTTTGCGCGGCAGCAAGGAGGAGGAGTAGAGCTCCCTGCCCGGCGCTGGAGAAAGAGGTAAGTTTAACCCCTTCCATCCCCTAGAGCCTGGCGGGAGGGGGACCCTGAGGGCGGGGGCACCCTCAGGGCACTATAGTGCCAGGAAAACGAGTATGTTTTCATGGCACTATAGTGGTCCTTTAACAGACTGTGACTTAACAAATAGTATGAAAAATACACCTCCAATTATGTCATTTACTATAAAGATTATGCAATGAAAAACAATAATAACTAAATCTATAAACAACGTTTATTATTATCACAGAGGATGAGTGGGGCAGCTCTGTATTACGGCTGCTGTCAGTATACACACAGTCTGGCGCAGAGATTAGTTTTTGGGTAAAACGTGGTCTGTGCGCGCTTGGAATACAGAGCTCCGGCCAAGCTGGGTGCAGCATGCAAAACCTTACTTGGAACTCTCATTTCTGGCTACCTGAGTGGCAGTTCCCAGAGGCAAATTTAAAGTTGTGCTATATATACATACACACACACAGTAACACTGAAGACACCATAACTACTTTAATGTATTAAACTGTAAACTGGTTAGTAGTTCGTGCCGAACGTTCTAACTATCCTCATTCCAGAAAGATTTAAAGACAGAACTTTTGACAATTTCAAATAATGATAAAAAGAGGAAGTTGGGGCACAACAGGAACTTGCATTTTTCAGCAGTGGGGCTGCCTTAGGGAACCAAACTTATCCAAAATACAACTAAGGAACAGCGAACACACAGAAATAAAATGTAAAATTTTATAAGGCTTCTTAAAATCACCTGTCTCAGCAAACACATATTGGGATTCAGTTGCACGATACGGTCATATTGTGTTAAAGCCACTAATTCGTCACAATACCCCAATATCGATGGGTGATACACTAATTCAAACGTGGGAGGTAGAGTGCTACATAACCTTAAGTGGTGGGTGATACACTAATTCCAATATAGGAGATAAATAGTGCTACATAACCTGAAGGGGTGGGTGATACACTAATTCCAACGTGGGAGATAATAGTGCTACATACCCTGAAGGGGTGGGAGATAATAGTGCTACATACCCTGAAGGGGTGGGAGATAATAGTGCTACATAACCTGAAGTGGTGGGTGATACACTAATTCCAACGTGGGAGATAATAGTGCTACATAACCTGAAGGGGTGGGTGATACACTAATTCCAACGTGGGAGATAGTGGTGGGTGATACACTAATTCCAACGTGGGAGATAATAGTGCTACATACCCTGAAGGGGTGGGAGATAATAGTGCTACATAACCTGAAGGGGTGGGTGATACACTAATTCCAACGTGAGAGATAAATAGTGCTACATAACCTGAAGGGGTGGGTGACACACTAATTCCAACGTGGGAGATAGTGGTGGGTGATACACTAATTCCAACGTGGGAGATAAATAGTGCTACATAACCTGAAGGGGTGGGTGATACACTAATTCCAACGTGGGAGATAAATAGTGCTACATAACCTGAAGTGGTGGGTGATACACTAATTCCAATATAGGAGATAAATAGTGCTACATAACCTGAAGTGGTGAGTGATACGCTAATTCCAACGTGGGAGATAATAGTGCTACATAACCTGAAGGGGTGGGTGATACACTAATTTCAACGTGGGAGATAAATAGTGCTACATAACCTGAAGGGATGGGTGATACACTAATTCCAACGTGGGAGATAAATAGTGCTACATAACCTGAAGTGGTGGGTGATACACTAATTCCAACGTGGGAGATAAATAGTGCTACATAACCTGAAGTGGTGGATGATACACGAATTCCAACGTGGGAGATAAATAGTACTACATACCCTGAAGGGGTGGGTGATACACTAATTCCAACGTGGGAGATAATAGTGCTACATAACCTGAAGGGGTGGATGATACATTAATTCCAACGTGGGAGATAATAGTGCTACATAACCTGAAGTGGTGCGTGATACACTAATTCCAATATAGGAGATAAATAGTGCTACATAACCTGAAGGGGTGGGTGATACACTAATTCCAACGTGGGAGATAAATAGTGCTACATACCTGGAAGTGGTGGGTGATAATTACTCCAACGGGATATAAATAGCTACATAACCCGAAGTGGTGGGCGATACACCAATTCAACGGGAGATAAATAGCGAAACCCATGGTGGGTGATACACTAATTCCAACGTGGGAGATAAATAGTGCTATATAACCTGAAGGGGTGGGTGATACAATAATTCCAAAGTGGGAGATAAATAGTGCTACATAACCTGAAGGGGTGGGTGATACACTAATTCCAACGTGGGAGATAAATAGTGCTACATAACCTGAAGGGGTGGGTGATACACTAATTCCAAAGTGGGAGATAAATAGTGCTACATAACCTGAAGGGGTGGGTGATACACTAATTCCAACGTGGGAGATAAATAGTGCTACATAACCTGAAGGGGTGGGTGATACACTAATTCCAACGTGGGAGATAAATAGTGCTACATAACCTGAAGGGGTGGGTGATACACTAATTCCAACATGGGAGATAATAGTGCTACATAACCTGAAGGGGTGGGTGATACACTAATTCCAACGTGGGAGATAAATAGTGCTACATAACCTGAAGGGGTGGGTGATACACTAATTCCAATGTGGGGGATAAATAGTGCTATATAACCTGAAGGGGTGGGTGATACACTAATTCCAACGTAAGAGATAAATAGTGCTACCTACCCTGAAGTGGTGGGTGATACACTAATTCCAACGTGGGAGATAAATAGTGCTACATAACCTGAAGGGGTGGGTGATAAACGAATTCCAACGTGGGAGATAAATAGTGCTACATAACCTGAAGGGGTGGGTGATACACGAATTCCAACGTGGGAGATAAATAGTGCTACATACCCTGAAGTGGTGGGTGATACACTAATTCCAACGTGGGAGATAAATAGTACTACATACCCTGAAGTGGTGGGTGATACACTAATTCCAATGTGGGAGATAAATAGTGTTACATAACCTGAAGGGGTGGGTGATACACTAATTCCAATGTGGGAGATAATAATGCTACATAACCTGAAGGGGTGGGTGATACACTAATTCCAATGTGGGAGATAATAGTGCTACATAACCTGAAGGGGTGGGTGATACACTAATTCCAATGTGGGAGATAATAGTGTTACATAACCTGAAGGGGTGGGTGATACACTAATTCCAAAGTGGGAGATAAATAGTGCTACATAACCTGAAGTGGTGGGTGATACACTAATTCCAACGTGGGAGATAAATAGTGCTACATAACCTGAAGGGGTGGGTGATACACTAATTCCAACGTGGGAGATAAATAGTGCTATATAACCTGAAGGGGTGGGTGATACACTAATTCCAATGTGGGAGATAAATAGTGCTACATAACCTGAAGGGGTGGGTGATACACTAATTCCAACGTGGGAGATAAATAGTGCTACATACCCTGAAGGGGTGGGTGATACACTAATTCCAACGTGGGAGATAATAGTGCTACATAACCTGAAGGGGTGGATGATACAGTAATTCCAACGTGGGAGATAATAGTGCTACATAACCTGAAGTGGTGGGTGATACACGAATTCCAACGTGGGAGATAAATAGTACTACATACCCTGAAGTGGTGGGTGATACACTACCCAAATGTGGGAGATAATAGTGCTACATAACCTGAAGGGTGGGTGATACACTAATCTAACGGGAGATACTAGTGCCACAACCTGAAGGGGGTGGGAGATAATAGTTACATACCTGAAGTGGTGGGTGATACACTGGTCTCCAACGGGAGATAATAGTGCTACATACCTGAAGGGGTGGGTGATACACTCACCTAACGTGGGAGACAATAGTGCTACATAACCTGAAGGGGTGGGTGATACACTAATTCCAACGTGGGAGATAAATAGTGCTATATAACCTGAAGGGGTGGGTGATACACTAATTCCAACGTGGGAGATAAATAGTGCTACATAACCTGAAGGGGTGGGTGGATACACTCACTCCCAACATAATAGTGCTACATAAATCTGAAAGGGTGGGTGATACACTACCCAACGTGGAGATAATAGTGCTACATAAATCTGAAGGGTGATACACTACTCTCAACGGGAGATAATAGTGCTACCTACCCCTGAAGTGGTGGGTGATACACTACCTAACGGGAGATAAATAAAGGCTACATACCTGAAGGGCTGGTGATACACTACTCCAACGCAGTGGGAGATAATATGCTACATAACCTGAAAAGTGATGTACACCACTCCAACGGGAGACAATAGTGCTACATACCTGAAGGGGTGTGGGTGATTAATTCAATTTCAACGGGAGATACAGTGCTACATAACCTGAAGGGGTGGGTGATACACGAATTCCAACGTGGGAGATAATAGTGCTACATAACCTGAAGTGGTGGGTGATACACGAATTCCAACGTGGGAGATAAATAGTACTACATACCCTGAAGGGGTGGGTGATACACTAATTCCAACGTGGGAGATAATAGTGCTACATAACCTGAAGTGGTGGATGATACAGTAATTCCAACGTGGGAGATAAATAGTGCTACATAACCTGAAGTGGTGGGTGATACACGAATTCCAACGTGGGAGATAAATAGTACTACATACCCTGAAGTGGTGGGTGATACACTAATTCCAACGTGGGAGATAATAGTGCTACATAACCTGAAGGGGTGGGTGATACACTAATTCCAACGTGGGAGATAATAGTGCTACATAACCTGAAGGGGTGGGAGATAATAGTGTTACATATCCTGAAGTGGTGGGTGATACACTAATTCCAACGTGGGAGATAAATAGTGTTACATAACCTGAAGGGGTGGGTGATACACTAATTCCAACGTGTGAGATAAATAGTGCTACATAACCTGAAGGGGTGGGTGATACACGAATTCCAACGTGGGAGATAAATAGTGCTACATAACCTGAAGGGGTGGGTGATACACTAATTCCAACGTGGGAGATAGTGGTGGGTGATACACTAATTCCAACGTGGGAGGTAAATAGTGCTAGTGCTACATAACCTGAAGTGTATTTTAATAATCTGTTGTAAGGGCATTGTGCATATACAATTAAATAAATTAATTTGAAAAACACATTACAGAAATGCATTGTCAAAACTAAACAATTAAAGTGATAGTGCTTTTATGTATATACTTACAATGCATATCACTAATCTGTTCTATACCAGATGAAATTGATTATTAAAGTGATATATCCAAAACCTCCTACAAATTATACTTTCCTGTGGTCATCTCAAAAGCGGCCTCGGAAGCTAGGGGGTGGGGCGGTGTGATCAACCCAAAAGAAATCTGGTCGGAACTCTAAACATACACAGTAAAGAGAGGGTATTACTTAATTTAGCACTAGCCCTGGGTCCTTGTAGTGTTCGCATGTTAAGGTGATTGCAGACCTCTTCATTTAAAATATCTATTTGGTAGTCCAGGCCACCTCCCATATTTTGCACCTCTCCCTGTCTCAGGGCCTTATTTAACCTTGCCCCAGGAGGAAGGATTTCCCAAGTAAGTAAATTAATCTCATAAAAGCAGGCATTAGGTTTATAGAGTGGGACCTGCCAAGAATGGGATAAATTGGCATTGTGGCAAGCTTATGTAATATATAATAATAGGCTTTAAAAAATTTTTTATTATATTTTATGAGCTTTTCATGAAATTGCCGTTTTTATATTTATATATATAATTCCCTCCCTTACCCCAAATACCAGTAAAGTTTGACATCAGTGTCTACTCTAAACTAAGCTGATCCCCAGTGTATGCACAGAGAAAGCAGAACTTCTAGTAAACAATGTGTTAATAATCTCCAGCATTTAGTGCTATGAGCTAATTTGGGTTGTGGTGCTCAATTTAATGTACCAAGTGGTACAGATGAAAAAATAACAGCAGTGTTGTCTCCACACGTGGTCAAAGATCATCAGGAAAGAGGAAGAGCGCACACGTCAGCAGTGATGCAGCGTGGGTTGCCAGCGTCCAGGGCAAGACGTTTAGCACTCACCAAGTCCGTTAACTGGCGCCTAGCCTTGCTGCTCCTTCCTTCCCTAGCTGCCCTGTCTCCATGATGTGTGTGACACTGATAGTTGTGTTGTGTCATTTTTAAAGTCCAACTCACACCTGAAGCAATGTGCATCGTCTTTAGTCCTGCTCCTTATTATTCATCGAACCACTTCTGATAAGTCTTCTGGGGGCCACCCTAACCAATGACCCAATGTCTGGGGTTGCATGTGTGAGAGACACACCTATCGGCAGATTTTGTTTTTACAATATGTTTGACATGACAAAATGCTGTTATTTCAGCTCAGTGTTTGTAACAGTGTGCTAGAAAAACGTGTTCTCTGATGAACCAGACTTTATAGACAAACAGTCTGACCGCAATAAACTTTATAACTAATTTTACTTAAAACCACCTCATCTCTGAGATCAGAGACAATGATTTTATTATTTCATTATTGTTAGCATAATAGTGGGTAGCCCTTTAAAATCTTGCATCTTCTAGTTATTGGCATGTGAATATAATATATAATGTATGCATAAGGGTTATTTGATTTTTTTATGGTTTTATTTTCTTCCTAGTTACATTGTCACAACTAACTGAATCGCTTGTCTGTGTTACTTGATAGATAGCAGAAGTCAGCCACTAGTCAAAAATAATTAACATTTATTTATTTGTTTTATTACCGGAATTTATAAAACACCAACATATTCCGCAGCGTTGTACAATTAGGGGTAACGGTAAAATACACCCATATCATTACAAAAGCCCAGATCCAGCCACTGAAGCTCTCTTATACAAAGTGCTTAGTTAGATAGCCCATGAGCTTACAATCTAAAGGTTAAGATGGAGATTTGAGACAAGGGGTAGCAGGGGGAATTTGGAAGTGATGGTGGAATACATTCAATGAACAATTCTTCGCTATTCTGTTCGGATATGCTTACACATTCAAAAACTTAGCACGTTAATTCTAACAAAATAAACAAATTAAATCATAAAGCACTATAAACAACAGGGATATTTGATAATAAAATATACAGACATCAACAAAACACGCACCAATAAAATGAGATAAGCAACTACTTCAATAAGGAAACCCATCAATGCTTGTAAATAGAACGATTAGACTGATTGGAGCAATAATGCCCCAAATTGTATTGGATCTCATCCTAGTTGTCTCGAAATATTACCCGAATGGATAGAAGGTCTGTGTGAATGCGTTCGGAAGTCTATGCCTGCTGCTGGTTCTATAGTAGAATGAAAATCACAATGCTCTAATATAATAAGTAAAACACAGTGTGAAGAAAAGGAATGCCGAATAAATATAAAAATGAAGGAGGGAGGGATGAGGACAACCCATACAATGAGTGTTGGTATACATCCCATTGCTACGGAATTTGCAGACACTATATAAATAATATAATAATAATATGCATTACATGCAGAGAGCCCTTTAATTTGCATTCCACAACAGAAACATTGTCAGCCAAGACAACAGAAACAGCACCAGCCAAGCCAGAAACATCTGTTCAAAAGGGACGTTCTAAACAGCAAAACAATATGAGTCTCAGACAGGGGAGATGTGGCTAGGACTAGCACCAAAACAACTATGTGCGTTTTAGCTGGAGAGGTGTACCTAAGTCTGCATAAACAAAGTGATTTAACGTCTAAATTTCAAAGAATTAAGACTACACGGCATGGTCTATACACCAAAACCACTTCATTAAGCTAAAGTTGTTTTGATAACTATAGTGTCCCTTTAAGTGTCCCTTTTTGTAGTGTTTTAAGGGGATGCTGTCATGTATAAAATGTGTGTTGCAATGAAGAAACACTGGCCATCAATGTATAGATCAAAAGATATGCTTACAGGAATGCTGTAAATGGGGCCCTTGACTAATATATACATTATAGCCATACCCAGAATCGGGAAGCCGGTGGGAGGGGAGTAAAAGGAGATCACGTCATTGACTCCACACATAATCTTACAAAGATCTAGTTGATCTGTGTAACGGAGCTCCCTGTACCCCGGCTGGGTACCTCCGCCCTGGACAGCTTCCTAGCTGGAACAGGGGACAAACTGCAGCACTTCTGCCCACAGTCGCCGTGGCTTGACTGGGGCCCTGGATCCACTCCTTCCTGGAGACTAATGGGGAATTCGCTCTAGCCACCCCCAGGCATTTGACGACACTCAGTCCTGGGAGCTCTAGTCCTTACAAGGACTTTCCCCGTTAAATCCCCTGCAAGCTGGAACAGCAGAAACAGGAGTAAATCTTCTTTCACTCTAATAACAGGACAACACACAGTTTTGGAGTGTAAACTGGAATAGGATTTTAATGGAGACACACTGGCCTTTTATGCAAGTTTCCCAACAAGGGTGACACCCAAGTGGACCTTGTTGGGCACAGGGACACAAAGTGAACAAACCAATAAAAACAGAGTCATACAGTGAGACACTCCCATACACAAACAATAGAATCCCTCCTCTGTGTTTGGGAGATAATTAAATCAGGAACTGTACTAATATAACCCAATTATCTCCAAGCACAAAAAACATACAATTTTATAAATCCCCAAAAAGTACCATAACCCCTTAAGGACCAAACTTCTGGAATAAAAGGGAATCATGACATGTCACACATGGGGTTAAAAACACATAAGTTACATCCCCTGATAGCCCTGATCTGGATGAACAACATATCCAAAAATCACCCAGATCGGTTCAGGAATTTCATGGAAGTTATAGTTTTGACCGACCGTGCACATGGTCCTATGCCCAAAACAGTTCTAACAGTCGGTCAAGTTCAGTAGTCTTTTACAGGTTTCCCTGCAGGGCACATAGTCTGTGGGATGGTACTATACTTCCATACCACCATGTGGTTATATATAGTTAGATCTTGTAGGAAATGCAGGAAAAAGGTGTAGTACCAATTCCTAAGTGAGAGTAATGTTATATATCGATAGAGCTGATACAAAGTGATATATTTGCTCTAAATCTGCAGTCACACTGGGTTAGGTTGGTATATTCAATAAGACAGCCCTAATGGGAATTGGTGCTCACTTATGATTGATTGATTGATTGATTGGGATGGACTAAGCAGAAATTTTGGCTTGATGTTTTATCAAAATATCTCCAACATTGAAACTAAAAGCTGAGTAATTGAAAGAAATACATTCTTGCTTAAAGGCTGCAGTCCCGCATATGTTTCCTCATAATAGATTAAGAAATAAATTCCATAGAAATACAATGTTTAATTTAGAGCTCTAAAGTGTTACCAGTTTACTGTGACTAATTCAAATAATCATCTAATATTCATAAATGAGCCTTTCTAGCTCATTAAATATCAGCTCAAAATGGTTAAACTTATAATTGGATCATTAAATATATATATATTCCAGAAGTTTGGTCCTTAAGGGTTTAAGTGCCCTGTAAGAAAAGGAAAAGTGCCTGACGCGCGTTTCGGTGCACAGATATGGGGATGATCTTATTTATTCAGCAGTCTGAAAAGCAATGATGTATCTATTTGCTGAAAAGATTAACCCCTTCAATGGAATAATATGTCTGATGTGCATTTGAATAAACATCTCGTTCCAGTCTTATTTGGAATGCCGATCTGAGTTCCGGTAGTATTAGGTTACAAATGTATAGAGATATATGCTATGTGGACACATATTAACGTATCAGTGTACCTTAGTAATGAGAGAGAGAGAAGACTGATCTGCCAACAATGTCAGTTCTATTGAATGAACTGATGTCATGGCGATCGTGTGTGTAGTGGATCCACAATAATATAACATCAAATATAAATATATGAACCAGGTCAATGGGGAATGTGGGTAAATTTACAAAGGGAGGGAAAAAAAGTTGTTTTGGTTGTAAGGAAGTCAATATGTGCTACATTTTTATATATTTCAGTATATACATATTTATGTTGAAAAGTGCATTATAGATAATTAGGCAAGTATTTTAATCAGATATAAATGAAGTGTATGAAAATCCTTCATTAAATCCAGACGGAGATAGTGTTTTTAGTTTGTAAATCCACAAACTTTCTCTCTGGAGTAGTTTTTTTGTCTTTCCTTTACCCAAGTTTATTTTTCCTATTCCGCTGAAACGTAACCCTTGAGAGGAACCTCCATGTTGTAGCTTTAGATGCCTGGTGTAAATAAGTCTAGAAGGATTAATTGAATTGACATGTTCTAAAATGCGCTTTTTAAACGTTCTGCTTGTTTTCCCCACGTATTTTAAGTTGCCGCTTCAGGTCAGTAGGTAAACTATGCCTGAAGTTTGACAGTGAAAGGACCACTATAGTGCCAGGAAAACAAACTTGTTTTCCTGGCACTATAGGGTCTTTAGATCCCCCCACCCTCATGGCCCCCCTCCCGCCGGGCTGAAGGGGTTAAGCTCTTACCTTTCTCCAGCGCCGGGGAACAATCCTCCCTCTTCCGACGCGCGCATTCGCATGTGCGGCAATAGCAGCGCGCGCATTTAATCAGTCCATAGGAAAGCATTACTCAATGCTTTCCTATTCCTATTGACGTCAGCGTCTTCTCATTGTGATTTTCACAGTGAGAATCACGGAAGCGCCTCTAGCGGCTGTCAGTGAGACAGCAACTAGAGGCTGGATAGATGGACCTGGCACCCAGAACACTTCATTGAGCTGAAGTGGTATGGGTGCCTATAGTGGTCCTTTAAAGAAGATTTTGGTCATGAAGGACTCATTTGAATTTGAGAAGGTCTTGGAGTGTCTGCGGATATATTTACATGCTTTGCAACACCCGCATTAGTATGTGCCACATTTTTGCGTTTTTTCCTCTAGATTTGGTCTCCCTAAAAAAGAATTCCCTAAAAAATACCCTTTTTTTAGGGTACCCCTAGGTTTAGGGTCAGAGGAAGTAGATGGGCTATCTATGTTCACATCTGATTCAGAGCCGCTAGTATCATACTCAGAAGTTGAGAATTGATTAAAGTCGACTCTCCTATTCTTTTTATATTTACGATATATGTTCCCCGTTGTGAAATCTCTCATGAATTTAGAGTGTTTGCATGTTTTTATGACTGATTGAAATCTGTTAAGCAGGTTCTGGAGTATGATATCTAATTGTCCAAAGTTTGGCTCATCTTTGGGAAGCTGGATCTTTTTCACTTCCTCCTCTACTTCCTTATTAACCCTCTATGGTAGTTTTTTTTTCCGAATATACACAATATGTCCATAAATTTACGAGAACAGGCCCCAGCTGCTTCCTCCCATTCAGTAATAAATTCTGATTCTTCAATATGGGAGGCAGGGATATTCTGTACTCTAAGACCTCTCGGTATCAGGTCTTTACTCAGATATTTTTCTAGAGATGCAATTTCCCAAACAGTTTTAATGTGTGATGGTACTATACTTCGGAGAGATAATACTGAATGTGATTAGTGATGTGTGGTTGGGGCTAGGGGGCTAAATTTTTAACCCCTTGTTCATGTTTCACTATTGTCCTGCAAAATGGCAAAATGGGGTCAATCTGGGGAGAAAAAAAAAAACCCACTCTGAGTTTATTCACTAAGTAGACAATAGCGGTGAATTGAAATCTGCATTGTAAAATCCAGGATAAAATACCCAAACTGCGACTAAATAGGAGTTTGAGAATGTTTCCAACTCAACTATTATTGAAATACAGCTTTCAGTTAAAGGACCACTATAGTGCCAGGAAAACATACTCGTTTTCCTGGCACTATAGTGCCCTGAGGGTGCCCCCACCCTCAGGGACCCCCTCCCGCCCAGCTCTGGAGAGAGGAAGGGGTTAAAATCTTACCTTTCTCCAGCGCCGGGCGGGGAGCTTTCCTCCTCCTCTCCCCCTTCCTAGCGACGTCATTGGCTGAATGCGCATGCGCGGCAGGAGCCGCGCGCGCATTCAGCCAGTTTATAGGAAAGCATTTTTTTAATGCTTTCCTATGGACGCTGGCGTCTTCTCACTGTGATTTTCACAGTGAGAAGCACGCAAACGCCTCTAGCAGCTGTCAATGAGACAGCCACTAGAGGCTCTAGAGGCTGGGTTAACCCTCAGTGTAAACATAGCAATTTCTCTGAAACTGCTATGTTTATAAAAAATGGGTTAACCCTAGCTGGGCCAGGCACCCAGACCACTTCATTAAGCTAAAGTGGTCTGGGTGCCTATAGTGGTCCTTTAACTACAATGTGGTGCTTGGTGAATAACCTTTATTGTGTACATTTTACCTTAATGAAGCCTAAAGCACCCACAGTGTGAAACACTTAAAGGGACACCGTATGCACTATAACTTTTTCATCTTATTGAAGTGGTTATAGTACCTGGTGCTGTGCCTCTAATCAGTGTTAAACCATTCCATCCAGTTGAAGTGGTTATAGTACCTGGTGCTGTGCCTCTAATCAGTGTTAAACCATTCCATCCAATTGAAGTGGTTATAGTGCCTACAGGCCCCTCTATACTGTGTTAAACCATTTTCAGGCAGTTTAACACTGAGTGGGGATCCCTGGCTTTCCATAGCTCTGCCCCCACTGGAGGTGTATCTGTGGAAGAGATGGCACACTTCTTTCTAACCATACCAATTTATACCAGCACTGGGTGCTGTGGTAGGTTGAAAGTGGTCAGCTGACACTCTCAGCCACCCATTGTTGCTCAGACTTCTTCATTAGCCCATGGAGTACAGAAAATACAGGCTGATATGGGCTCTCATTTAGCATTAAAACATTAAAAAGGTTTACTGCTGAATAGGAGCACAGCGCTAGGGGACTCTAGACACTATAACCACTTCAATTAGAGGCAAAAGTCACAGTGATTACAGGGTCCCTTTAATGCTGTTTGTAGACTGTTCACAAAACTACACACAGAGCTGACTGAAAGGGCAGGAGGGCATGTGAATCAAACTATAGTTGCTTTAAATGTAATATTATACATCCATTATTTATTTATCTATTCGTGTTCTCCAACATATTTCACTGGAGTGGATAAAGATAGTTAGCTTGTTTCATTTTATTATCTTCATCTTTAAAAGCCTTGAAATTCATTATTTGGACTCATATAAACAGCGCCAACAACGCTTTGCGAGGCACTAAATGAGATCAATAAATACGGCTGGGTCATGTGATCTCTGTGCGTAGTAAGAATGTTAAAAACACCCAAGCTGATAACAAAAGAAACAACAATTAAAAAAACAACTTTTGAAAACGTGAAACAAACACTAGAACTGAGACAGTCTGCCTTTTTAATATTCCAGATAGCACAGGGCAGGGCTTGCAGAAACAGGACTGTAAATAACGAACTAAACTAATTGGTCATCTGTCAGAAAGTAATAAGTCAACACACCATAAAGCTTTATATACTCTGCACACACAAACATTCCCTTTGTTTTTAAAATGGTTTTATAATAAATATCGTTACATACAAAAGCTCTTAGTCAAGAGAATAAAATAGATAGATGATCCCCCACCCCCAAATAAACACAGAGCAAACAGACAACCACAAAACATAAAACACAGGTTCAGCATTTGCACTCAAACCATGTTGCTGTTATCGCCCTGCAGTCAGGGCACAGGATATCTCCATGTCGAAGATAACCAAGAGATGAAAGTTCAGTTTCCACCCTGCAGAGTCTGATTAATAACTGTGTGAGTAATTGTGTGAACGTTTCAAGCAATGAAAGCTATGTGAGCCAGCGATGAACATGTGACTGAGGAAGGCCATGTACGCTACAGCTGTCCTTTCACATCACAGCAGCAATACAGCTAATTCCAGAGTCCCATCTGTCTAAAACATAAACAAAAAGCACTGACTGGCTTCCTGTGATGGGAGTTCCCTGAACGTTGAACACACTGGTATAGGAAAATGGACGGCTGTTACAAATGTTACATAGCTGAAAAGAGTTACATAGCTATCCATCAAGTTCAGCCTTCCTCACATTTGTATTTTGCTGTTGATCCAAAAGAAGGCAAAAAAAACAAACAACCCAGTTTGAAGCACTTCCAATTTTGCAACAAACTAGGGGAAAAAATTCCTTCTTGACCCCAGAATGGCAGTCAGATTTATCCTTGGATCAAGCAGTTATTACCCTACATTGAAAGATTATATCCTTGAATATTCTGTTCTTGCAAGTATGCATCTAGTAGCCGTTTGAACATCTGTATGGACTCTGATAAAACCACTTCCTCAGGCAGAGAATTCCACATCCTGATTGTTCTTACAGTAAAAAAAAAACCTTTCCTTTGACTTAGACTAAATCTTCTTTCTTCCAGTCTAATCGCATGACTTTGTGTCCTATGTAAAATCCGGTTTGTGAATAGATTTCCACACGATGGTTTGTATTGGCCCCCGGTTATATTTGTATAATGTTATCATATCCCCTCTGAGGCGACGTTTTTCTAAACTAAAGAGGTTTACATTTGTTAACCTTTCTTCATAGCTGATGCGTTCCATACCTTTTATTAATTTTGTAGCCCGTCTCTGCACTCTTTCTAGTGCCATAATATCCTTTAGAACAGGTTCCCAAAATTGCACAGCATATTCAATATGTGGTCTTACCAGTGATTTATAAAGAGGCAAAATGATATTCTCATCACGAGAATGAATGCCTTGGCCACTGCTGATTGACATTGCACATTGTTGCATAGTTTGTTGTTTCCTTTTCGTGTGTTGTTATCCTTAATTCGCTTCCATTAAGGGTATACGTTGCTTGTGTATTCTTTACGCCGAAGTGCATAACTTTGCATTTTTCAACATTAAATTTCATCTGCCATTTGAGTGCCCAGTCCCCCAATCTATCCAAATCCCTCTGCAGCAAAGTAATATCCTGCCCACATTGTATTATTTTACAGAGTTTTGTTCCATCTGCAAATAATGAAACATGACTTTCAATGCTTTTTTCAAGATCATTTATAAACATGTTAAATAGAAGGGGTCCTAGAACAGAACCCTGAGGGACATCACTTCCCACCTCTGTCCAGCTTGAAAATGTAACATTACTGACAACTCGTTGTACTCTATTTTTAAGCCAATGTTCTACCCAAGAACAAGCATTTTCATCTAGACCGATTTCCTTGAGTTTGAACACTAATCTATTGTGTAGAACTGTATCAAATGCCTTGGCAAAATCCAAATAGATCACATCCACGGCAACACCCCGATCTATACTTCTACTTACTTCTTCGTAGAACGCAATCACGTTAGTTTGACATGACCTGTGCTTTATAAAACCATGCTGATTTTTGCTGATAACCATGTTCTTCTCAAGGAATTCTTGAATATTATGCCTTAATAACCTTTCAAATATTTTTCCAGTCACAGAACTTAAGCTCACAGGTCTATAATTTCCAGGCAAGGATTTTGAGCCCTTTTTGAATATAGGAACCACATCTGCCTTCCTCCAATCCTCCGGAACACTTCCTGAAAGAAAATGGTGGAACCCAATCAGAATAAAAACATTTTTTTATTCCCTAACCCACCCTTGTTTGTATTTTTTTTTTCCAGATATTTTAATGATCTTTTAACTTTTCCTTCCGGGGTATTTTTTTGTTTTTAGTGACATATACTGTGAGTGTGGCTAGTAAGGGATGACTGGTTAATTCTTACCCCAAGAGTGGTAACAAAATTCACAGTAATGTTTGTTTGTGCATGTCCATAACAGCACTAAAAGGCAATAAAACTCACAGGAATGTGTGCTTAGATTTCAGTAAATAGGTTTATAAATAAGTCTGTATAAATGAGACACATTAATCCAATTCTAAAATACAAAAATAACAAAAGTGAAAGAAAGGGGAAGGAGGGATGGGGTGGGGGAGGGGTGTTAAATATCAGATGATCCCAGAAAAAGACATTTAAGCCCAAATGGGTTTATTTAAAATAATATAAAACGTAGCCTTTAATAGATATATTTACAACCACTAACACACAAGTACTAAGTACCACCATCTAGAAAAAATAATTAGTTAGGAAAAATATTTACACTTTTATTAAAAATGTAAGATTCCTAACGTTATGATGGGAATGGGAATGCCCTCTCATTTATATGGAAAGCGACAAATGCGTTTCTCCATGTAAGAGCGGGACCAATGTGAACTCTAATCACTTGCTCTGCCAGAATATCATGAATTGGTATGTACAAAATCTGGCAAAGCATGGGAATAAGGTAAAACAGTGGTCCATCTGCTGGCTAATAAATAGGCTATCCATGGGAACCTCGGGGGAGGGGGGGGGAGAAGGGGGAGGAGTCGGAGGAAACAGGTACAGCCAGTGGTGTATTCTGGTTTTGTGCTGCCCCTCCCCTTACAAACTTCTCTTCCTGACAGACACATGCCCTCACTGATACATGCACTGACATACACTCCCTTACAGGTACGCAGTCATTGTCACACACACTGTTTAACCAAAACACACTTTCACTGAAACATACACATTCTTGTAATACACAGTTACACACACACACACATTCACCGACAGACACACATATACACTGACAGACACACAGTCACCGACAGACACAGTCACCGACAGACACACATACACATACACGTACTGACAAGGCACACATGCACACTCACTGACTGAAGTGCATACACATTCACTCAGTGTCAGACAAATACACACACACACACTGGGACACACTGACAGATACACACTGACAAACATATATGCACTTAGTGTCAGGCACACACATTGACTGACAGACACACATACACTAGCTGACAAAAACTGACAGACACATAAACACACTGAAACATGCAAACATACACTGACAGAAACACTCAGTGACAGATACACACATACACACTCACTGACAAACACATATACACTCTCAGTGACAGACACACACACTCTCACTAACAGACACACACTAAACTCACTGACACACACTAACACACTCACTAACAGGCACACAGACACTCACTAACAGACACACATTCACTGACACACACACACACTAGCACACTCAATAACAAACACACACACACTCACAAATTAAAATAAAATAAAAATTAAAGTTCAATCCACCCAGCCTGGAGTGGATTCTTCCCTGTGGTCCAGTGGGGCTGGCTACAGCTCTACCGGTGGTCGGGAAGGCGGGCAGCGAGGGAGCTCTGATCCTCCTGCTCAGCTCCCTTGTGCGCCTCTTAGTGATGCCGGGGCCGGAGTGACGTCATATTCCGGCTCTGGCATTACTGCGGTGCACATAAGGTAGATACCAGCCTCAGGGGGAAACCCCCAGGGCAAGAGGCTGTCAAGACATCTGCCAGGGCGAATGGGGGCAGCTATTTTTGCCACCTCCCTGAAAGTTCCGCCCAAGGCAAATGCCTGATCAGTCGCGTGCTAGATACAGCCGTATAGATGATAATATTAATCTGCAAAAACTACTTGGGTACAGTAGTGAATAATTTGTAGCAATATGTCTGCAAATCACTCTTGCTACTGTGATTGTCAAGTGGCAACAATTTCATAAAGTTATAGTGAGAACAGACTTAGCACTCAAAGTTGTCACGTGGACAGGTAAAAAATGAACTAGTATACAGTTGCAAGAAAAAGTATGTGAACCCTTTGGAATGATATGGATTTCTGCACAAATTGGTCCTAAAATGTGATCTGATCATCTAAGTCACAACAATAGACAATCACAGTCTGCTTAAACTAATAACACACAAAGAATGAAATGTTGCCATGTTTTATTGAACACACCATGTAAACATTCACAGTGCAGGTGGAAAAAGTATGTGAACCCCTAGACTAATGACATCTCCAAGAGCTAATTGGAGTGAGATGTCAGCCAACTAGAGTCCAATCAATGAGATGAGATTGGAGGTGTTGGTTGCAGCTGCCCTGCCCTATAAAACACACTTTGCTTTTCACAAGAAGCATTGCCTGATGGGAATGATGCCTCGCACAAAAGAGCTCTCAGAAGACCTACGATTAAGAATTGTTGACTTGCATAAAGCTGGAAAGGGTTATAAAAGTATCTCCAAAAGCTTGCCAGCCAAGAAATCAAGGTTGCCCCTCAGTGGGAGCAGTGGGCTTGGTAGTCAAATAATGTTTGGGACCATATCGGTGCCAGAGGGTTAGGGTTGCTTTCACAAACGGGTTGAGTTGTGCATTGCTTTGAACTACGCAATCTGCACTCAGGAAATTCAACTTAAGTGTATATTTCTAAAAAAAAACAAACAAAAAAAAACTTTCTTTACATGGGCGTCCCCAAAGTGATGGCCAGTCAGCCAGAAATGCCCACTTTTCAAGTGCCTTTCCAGCTTTGCCCTGAATGCTATCATCAGTGATGTGAGAGGCACTCCTCCCATTCATGTCCTGGATTCATATTTTCCAATGTAACCAGGAGTTTTTGGGACCTTGTTAATGCTTAATACTATGAACAAGTTTCAGGCATCATAAAAACACAAACTCATTTGGTTGGATAAGCAGATCTATTTTCAGGATTGGACTTAAATTTGACTGCCCCCTTCCTCCCCCCAGCAAACATAAGCCTGGGGTTGCACAGAAAAGAGGCATGTATATTTATATATTCATTACAAGAGAAGTTGTTAAAAATCAATGCCAGTTTTGTTGCTGACTCGTGGTGTTTTAACAAAAATGTCATGTGCATATTTGATAGTTTTTGTTGTTATTTGATCCTGTCTCACAAGAAGCTTTGGATATGTAATCCAGCTCCAGGCCGTGTGTCACTTCTGCCTCTAAACACTCCATTCATGATTGGTTGATTGCAATGCAACTTCTTTCTGCCCCTTCCTGTTACAAATGTCAGCCAGAAACGGGTACCAATACCGTCACTGGTGTCTGCCACGTGGAAGCTTGTTAAACAAGCTAGGATGCTGCCACTTTTCAGTTAGAATATGCTCTTTTAACAAAAGACGTTTTTCTGTGAATATGTAGTTTATCATAGCATAAAAATAAAAAATCCTCAGTAGACGGCAAGTGTCGATGGCTCAATTAAGAATGGGCATATACTGTAATTGGCAAGCTGTATTATGTATACTACTATTATTGTACTGGCTTATGCATAAGCCCAAAGTCAATGTTAACTTGCTATGTCTGTTGAGTAAAAATAAAGAATAAAAAAAAAAAAAAAAAAAATATGCTCTTTTATGAGGCACTTCGCTTATTGATAAGCTGTGGAAGTATGGGAGCTGTCTGCCTTCGCAGCTTGTCCTCTACAGAATACCACTGCACTTCCAATAGTAACTGTATTAGCCCATTTGTTATATGTGTTTTGCTCTTCATAACTAAACCCTCTCTCTGCATGTATAAACCCCCCATAGTGCAGTCACACCTCTGTGTTAGCTAACTGAAATAGTCACTATGCTGACATTACATAGGTACATAGGCTAAAAAAAGACAAGCATCCATCAAGTTATGTTATTATGATAACATATCATTATGTTTAAGTATTCACCCAGTTGCTGTTTAAAAATCGATGTAGATTCTGATAAAAACACTTCTTCAGGCAGAAAATTCTAGTCCTTATTGATCTTTACTTTGCCTTAGACTAAATCTCCTTTCTTCCAGTCTAAATGTGTGACCTTGTGCCCTATGTATAGCCCTGTTTATGAATAGATTTCCAGACAATGGTTAGTATTAGCAATGATTAGACAGGAAGAAAAAAAAATAGGAGACGGGCATGTGGGTAAAGGGTACCCTCGAAGGCACAGAATAGCCAAAAGCCAGGTGTCTTATACAGTTGCAAGAAAAAGTATGTGAACCCTTTGGAATGATATGGATTTCTGCACAAATTGGTCATAAAATGTGATCTGATAATCATCTAAGTCACAACAATAGACAATCACAATCTGTTTAAACTAATAACACACAAAGAATGAAATGTTGCCATGTTTTTATTGAACACATCATGTAAAGGTGCAGGTGAAAAAAGTATGTGAACCCTTGAATTTAATAACTGGTTGAACCTCCTTTGGCAGCAATAACTTCAACCAAACGTTTCCTGTAGTTGCAGATCAGACGTGCACAACGGTCAGGAGTAATTCTTGACCATTCCTCTTTACAGAACTGTTTCAGTTCAGCAATATTCTTAGGATGTCTGGTGTGAATCGCTTTCTTGAGGTCATGCCACAGCATCTCAATCGGGTTGAGGTCAGGACTCTGACTGGGCCACTTCAGAAGGTGTATTTTCTTCTGTTTAAGCCAATCTGTTGTTGATTTACTTCTATGCTTTGGGTCGTTGTCCTGTTGCAACACCTATCTTCTGTTGAGCTTCAGCTGGTAGACAGATGGCCTGCAAAATGTCTTGATAAACTTGGGAATTCATTTTTCCTTCGATGATAGCAATCCGTCCAGGCCCTGATGCAGCAAAGCAGCCAAACCATGATGCCCCCACCACCATACTTCACAGTTGGGATTAGATTTTGATGTTGGTGTGCTGTGTCTTTTTTTCACCACACATAGTGTTCTGTGTTTCTTCCAAACAACTCAACTTTGGTTTCATCTGTTCACAGAATATTTTGCCAGTACTGCTGTGGAACATCCAGGTGCTCTTGTGCAAACTTTAAACGTGCAGCAATGTTTTGTTTGGACAACAGTGGCTTCCTCTGTGGTATCCTCCTATGAAATCCATTCTTGTTTAGTGTTTTACGTATTGTGGATTCGCTAACATGGATGTTAGCATTTGCCAGTGACTTTTGTAAGTCTTTAGCTGACACTCTAGGATTCTTCTTCACCTCATTGAGCAGTCTGCGCTGTGCTCTTGCAGTCATCTTTACAGGACGGCCACTCCTAGGGAGAGTAGCAAGAATGCAGAACTTTCTCCATTTATAGACAATTTGTCTTACCGTGGACTGATGAACAGCAAGGCTTCCCATTCGGTAGAAAGAACCCCACGAACAAGGGGATTTACCCAAATCCTCCCCAGCTCTCATAATCCAATCCATTCGTGTGTTTCATTCCCTTTTCTGTGACCGACCGTAGGGCCACAATACATGGAACCCTTTTCGGCTGTTAACCCCAGCGCGGTCGGTCTTTTTAGTACTTCCAGGAATTTCCCGAACCACTGCTCCGATCTGGGTGATTTTTGGATATGTGTCTCACCCAGATCAGGGCTACCAGGGGATGTAATATTTAAAGGGGTACCCCTATGTTTAGGGGTATATCCAGAAACCCAGGGAATTTGGGTCCTGCATAAGGGGATTATGTGTCACAATAAGGGGAGGGGATGTGTGGGTGGCAACTCGTGTATGATTGGTGTATTGTGTAATTACTGTAAATCCCTCGCTTGCATGGGAGAAAGCTTTAAAAGACAGTTGCGTGATTAAAAGTTCAGTTCTGCTCCTGATGCTGTGTGTCGTCCAGTCATTGGGATTGCTGTTGGGATATTGCTGGATTATTTTGCCTGCTGGAAACCTTGCTTTATGGATTTATAATACTTGTTCCTGAGCCTCACTGGGATCTTAAGTGGAGATAACACTTAGTAACAACATTTACTGCAACCACATTTCTCTGTGCCATAGAAAGTAATCCTAAACTGGGCAACCGTACACAGCGGGTGGGGATGCAGCGGTTCCATGTCTCATGGTAATGCATAATATGCTCCGTGTCCATATAGCTATAAGTTACATTCAGTCTACAGGGGACACCTAGCCTACAACCTATTATCTGTAATTTGTATAACCCTGCAATATTATCTCAAAGCTACAATGTTCTAGGCAGTATGTATAGCCTGTCAGTGTATTTTTAGTTTGCTATACCTGTCTCTGTTCGCTCTTGATTTCCCTGAATCACAAGAGTTGAGTTCTACACTGAAAACACATGCACTGGTACTGGCAGGCTGGGCAGTACTGTACTCTACTTAAATCGAGTTTCACGCTTCTACTGCTTGTTTTAATTCTGTAACCTTCTACACTTAACCGAAACATGCTGTGCAATCCAGCTATTAGATAGAGAGCTACACAGGATTACCACACCTACACAGCAACACCTGGTTAAAGTTACTACATACAGCCTGCTCTTACTACAACAGCCAGTCTTAGTTTAACACGACGTAGCAGGATTTCTCCTACTGGCTTGGTACAAGCTTGTTTCACTAAAACACAGGGGCAGTCAGGTACTATGACAGGCGAGGTCGGATCAATATATCAATGCAAAGTTTTAACCTGACATTAACCTCTACTGTGCCCAAACTATGACGTAGATCTGTAAACCACGCTAATATTACGGTTTACCCTTGTTATGCATAGTCAGTCTCGCAATATATTATAAAATGTGCAATGTTATTAGATGCCATATCTTTGTCTACCTGTTGATCAGTTGGCTGGCAATAGCTATCGCGGCATTTCTTGTCTCTATGTATTGTTTTTTTCTCTGAACGGAAAATAAAGAATTAAAAAAAAAATAATATGTTCTGCATTATGTACACTTTAATAATATTTATATACCTTGAGAAACAAACATGCTTACCATAAGCAAGACATATATTATTACTAGGTTCAAAGTCCCCAAGATTTATAGAAGAAAGGCTGGCCCTCAGATTTTCTGCATTCCCCAAATATTGACACGAGACCCACCTTAACTACCCATTTTTTTCCAGCGAACCTGCAGGCAAATCCGGTTCGTTGGTCAAAGAGTCCTTTGTGTTTTTGTAAAACACTCTATGTAGGCTTGAGCCCAGCCCTGTATAGATTAATCTGTAATTTAGTTCAATAACGGAATCTCCTCAACTGAGCTAGTGGAAGGAAAATAAAATGCTTAGTAGCAACAATCTTGTCCACATTTTCCGTGCACTATTAAAGCATGCCAGAACTATGAGCTTCTAGAAAATTTACATTGACTGTGAATTTAACCTTATCGACTCCATGTGTACTTAATGATGTCATGGCCCCCTCCTCCTTCAGCCTGGCCTCTGAAATATCTCTTGGTGAGTAATGTCATCTGTAATGGATCCCCTATACTCCGACTGAGTATATCCGCTGTAGCTCTCTCAAATCCCAAGTGAAGCAGTTATTAAGGCTCTGGTATAACCACACATCAGCCTAGACGTGATGAAGCAGGGGGTCTCCACACAATACAATGCATGCCCCTCCCATAAATCTCTGTGACTGGCAGATAATTGCGTTACAGACCAGTAAGCTAATTATCTCCCAGGAGCAGAGAGGCAAACAAACATAAAAAAAAAATACCCCAAAACATCATAAAAACAGAACAAACCCCACAAATAATATATTGTTAAATAGCCCTGATCTGAGCGCCCAAGTTCTCCAAATAGCGCTCAGATCAATGCAGTGTAGGGAATCGCCACAGTGTTAAAGTTCTGACTGGCCGTTCACGTGGTCCTATGCCCAAAACCGTTCCATAACATTCGCGGCTAAGTCCCGCTGAGGTGACTGGGAACCCACGAAGCCCTTATGCCGAATTTAGTTCCATTACAATCGCGGCTAAGTACTTCTGAGGACAATTCGTGGGTTTGGTTCATGCGAACGGCCGCCAGAGAGCCAGCTTTCGATTCCATTTGCAGGAAAGGAAAGTGCCGAACCTGGGGCACCAAGGGCAAGCTACTAATGGTGGTTGGGGATATTTAACTCCTGAAAATGGTCTTTGTATATGGTCCATAGTCCTGGGGCAGGAGGCTAGCTTGCAGGCTCCTCCAGGAGCTCGTGGCATAGGCACATTTATCACATATCTCCCGCCACAAGGGAAGACTAACCAGGTACCAGACCTCCTGTTGGTCTGTACCTGAGTTAGTCAAGAAGCCCACCCAAAAACACCCAGCTAAGCCTCCTGCTCCATGCTCTGTCCTGGCAGTTCAACATTGCTTTGTTGGTGACGTCCATCAGCCCTGGTGTCTCCTGATAACAGGCACTGCCGCTTGGGAGAGAGACCAGTTGTCTCCTCTTCCTGCCTGGTACACTGCCTCTGGGGAGTGATACTGACTGTCTCCACTTCCCGTGATGCTGCTTGTTGCTTGGTAGTGAAACCGACTATCTCCACTCCCAGTGATGCTTGCTGCTTTTTGGGAGAGGGACCGTCAATCTCCGCTCCCTGTGACCCTGCCTGTTGCTGGTTAGTGAGACCGACTATCTCCACTCCCAGTAATGCTTGCTGCTGCTGGGGAGAGGGACCACAAAAATCCTCTCCTTGTAACTCTGGCTTGCGCTGGGGAGAGAGACCAGTTGTCTCCTCTCCCTTTAACTCATACTGCCACTGGGGATGAGACTGACTGTCTCCACTCCCTGTGATGCTGCCTGTTGCTGGGTAGTGAGTCCAACTATCTCCACTCCCAGTGATGCTTGCTGATACTGGGGAGAGGGATCGACAATCTCCTCTCCCGGTGACTCCAGCTGCTGGTGGGGAGAGAGGCCGTCTATTGTCACCTCTCCCTGCATGGTACACTGCCGCTGGGGAGTGAGACTGCCTGTCTCCACTCCATGTGATGCTTGCTGTTGCTGGGGAGGTCTGATCCCAGCCCAATGACTCCCGGGTACGGTAGCATCTCTTCCTGTTAATAAATACCCCTGAACAGCGACTCCGCAGGACTGCCAAAGTCATTCCACAACAGGCCAGGGCCATTGTAGCTCTCCCACTTTGGCTGAATGCCCTCTGCCATCCAGGGGTCTCGCTGGACTGCGTACCACCACAGCTCCCCCAAGTCGTCCAGTCATCCAGTCATCATTTCTCTCTTAACCAGGAACTCAAGGTGCCTTACCCACTCCATCAAGGGTTGCTTTCCCAGGATCGCCATCCGTTGGGCCACTTGTTCCTGCCAGTGGTGTGCTGTACTTGAAAGGTTCTCTTTCCGCTAAAGGTTTGCTACCTCTAGGGACTATTGCCAGTGTTCTTGCAGTATTCATTCTCTCCTCCTCAGCCAAAATAGGGCCCTTCTGCTGTGCCAGTGTGCCTTGTAGTCTCCACTAGAATGCCTCCTCATATGGGGACACTGCCCAGAGCCTAGCTCGCTCCATCTCCCAAGTTCCTCTTTAGACAGGGACACTGCTGGACTCTTCACATCATTCCCTGGTTTGGGATAACCATTTGGGAGAAAAATCTCGCTGCTTGCCACCAGTGTAACGGATCCCCTATACTCCGACTGAGTATATCCGCTGTAGCTCTCCCAAATCCCAAGTGAAGCAGTTATTATAGCTCTGGTATACCCACACGTCAGCCTAGACTTGATGAAGGGTACAAGAAGACTGTTTTATTATAGACCAGTGGCCTGCTTATATACAGAACTCCAAGCAGGGGTCTCCACACAATACAATGCATGCCCCTCCCATAAAGCTCGGTGCCTGGCAGATAATTGCGTTACAGACCGGTAAGCTAATGATGTCCCAGGAACAGAGAGGAAAACATAAAAATATAAATGAGTCATTTAAGGGATCATTTAGAGAACAAATACATAATAGAAAATAGACAAAAGACATATATATATATATATATGGGTTAGGGGACGGGGGAAGGCTGAAGAAACTCCCCTACTGGAGAGGTATATGTTATATATCTAATAATGCAAACTGAACAAGTTTATAGTACGTTTATAAACATTTAGTACATTCTTTTCAAAGATTTTCTTGCTTAAAGAGTTACTATTGACGTCAAAACAGCTTTAGCTTAACAAAGCAGTTTTAGTTTTTAGATAATGCCTTGCAGCAGGGCCGCCACCAGAAATTTTGGGGCCCCTGACAAAGCACAAGGTCTGGGCCCCCCTCAACCCCCGCGCCCGCCACGACCAGAGGACTCCTACCTAGTCTGTTGCAAATGATGCAGGACTGAATGTGGTGTGTATAGTGGAAGTAAATTAGAATGTGTGTAATGGATGTAGTGTTTGTGTGTATTAGATACTGTTTGTGTAGTGAATGCAGAGTGTGTGTTAGTGTAGTGAATGCAGAGTGTGTGTTAGTGTAGTGTATGCAGAGTGTGTGTGTGTTAGTGTAGTGAATGCAGAGTGTGTGTTAGTGTAGTGTATGCAGAGTGTGTGTGTGTGTTAGTGTAGTGAATGCAGAGTGTGTTAGTGTAGTGAATGCAGTGTGTGTTGGTGTATGCAGAGTGTGTGTGTGTAGTAAATGCAGTGTGTGTTAGTGTAGTGAATGCAGTGTGTGTGTGTTAGTGTAGTGAATGCAGTGTGTGTGTGTTAGTGTAGTGTATGCATGTAGTGTAAATGGAGCATTCCACACACAGTCAGACACACACACAGTCAGACACAAACACACACACACACACACAGATACATACAGTCAGACACACACACACACACACACACACACAAAATCACTCACATTAACACTTTTTTTTTTTTATTTAACGCCCCCCAGCCTCCTTACCTTTGGGAGTGCTGGGGGAGGGTTCCTCTTTCTCCCTGGTGGTCCAGTGGCTGCCGGTTGGGCTGATGGGTTGGCTACTGGGCGGGCGGGCGGCTGGCGAGGGAGCACTTCCTCTGAGCTGACTGCTCAGCTCCCTTGCGCGCCGCACAGTGAGGCTGGGAGTCGGGTTGATGATGTCATATTCCGGCTCCCAGCCTCACTGTGCGGCGCGCGAGGGAGCTGAGCAGTCAGCTCAGAGGAAGAATGCAGAGAATGCAGGCGCCAGCCGCCCGCCGGACCATCAGCGGCGTTTTTTTGCCGCCCCCTGAAAAATGGCGCCCAAGGCAAATGCCTTGTTTGCCTCGCGGCTAATACGTCCCTGCTTACAAGCTCTTCCCTCTCTGTAACTCCCGCGAGTGCGGTGTGCGTGCCGCGCGGAGCGTTGCCATGGTAACCAGTGGCAACGCTCTGATTGCCGTGGGTCTCGCGAGAGTTACAGAGAGGGAAGAGCTTGTAAGTACACTTGCAGTCCGCTGGGCCCCTTCTGCAAGTACATAGATAGCGATATTCACTATCTATGTGTGCAGAGAGGGAATGTGGGGCCCAGGACTGCCAGAGCAGTCCGGGCCCCCCAGGACCGCCGGGCCCGTCACAACCATCATGGTTGTCACCCCCTGATGGCGGCCCTGCCTTGCAATCACATATTCTGCATGAAAAAAATTGTTTAATTTTCAGATGTAAACTTACTGTAGAAGTTATCTCCTGCACTATACATGAACTTTAATTACATACAGGAGGTATGTAAGGTCCTTGGAAGCTATTACAAGGGCAGGAGACAAGAAATTCTGATTCAAACATAATGTATTTTAAAGGAAGTTTTAATATTAGAGCTCTCTTTACAGGACGTGTTTAGGAAGGCTGTGTAAGTCACATGCAGGGAGGTGTGGCTATGTCAGCATAAACAAAGTGAATTAAAACCTAAAAGGCAGATAATTGAGCAGTGAGGCTATACACCAAAATTGCTTCATTAAGATGAAGTTGTTTTGATGCCTATAGTGTCCTTTTAATTATCTTGTATATGTATTTTTTTTAACATGTTTGCTGGTTTAAAAAAAATAACTGTCAAGTGGTGCAGAGTGAATCTCAAAGTTTGGCGTAAAATGGGAAATTCATTTTGAATTTATTTTACAGGTGTTTGTATTCCTAACACTTTAGTAAAATATAGCCCCTCCCTTTACAAAAAATTAAAGTTACCTCTCCTCTTCCACATAAAGGAGCATTGGGGATCTAAGGCGCATGCACAGTCCTTTAACGTTTCTAACAATTTACACTTTAGTTTATAAACATTCTTAATGTATTAAACTGGAAACCAAATCAGAAGGGCAAACCTTCTAGAACTGTGACTTTAGTGGATCTTTTCTACATCAGCTAGATTTGCTTAAATTTAGTCATTCGATGTTTAATTCACCACATTTCAGTGTTTAGTTGAATTTTTCTATATATATTAACCATTACTGCAATTTTGTACAAAATTAGTACTCAGACTCTTAATACAGTCATTGTTCCTTTATATACACAGCTATGGTGATCATTTGGACAGAGAGCTCCGTGAAGAGCAAGCAACTGAGAGTACTCCGAATGAAAATGCAGAGGAAGTCCCCCATGAAAATGCAGAGGGAATACCACATGATAATGCAGAGGAAGTCTCCCATGAAAATGCAGAGGGAATCCCCCATGAGAATGCAGAGGGAATCCCCCATGAGAATGCAGGAGTCTCACATGAGAATGCAGAGGGATTCCCCCATGAAAATGCAGAGGGATTCCCCCATGAAAATGCAGAAGGAGTCCCACATGAGAATGCAGAGGCGATCCCACATGAGAATGCAGAAGCGATCCCACATGAGAATGCAGAGGGAATCCCACATGAGAATGCAGAGAGAATACCACATGAGAATGCAGAGAGAATACCACATGATAATGCAGAGGAAGTCCCCCATGAAAATGCAGAGGGAATCCCCCATGAGAATGCAGAGGGAATCCCCCATGATAATGCAGAGGGAATCCCCCATGATAATGCAGAGGGAATCCCCCATGAGAATGCAGAAAGAGTTGCACATGAGAATGCAGAAGGAGTTGCACATGAGAATGCAGAGGGATTCCCCCATGAAAATGCAGAGGGAATCCCCCATGATAATTCAGAGGTGATCCCACATGAGAACGCCGAGGGATTCCCCCATGAAAAGGCAGAAGGAGTCCCACATGAGAATGCAGAAGGAGTCCTACATGAGAATGCCGAAGGAGTCCCACATGAGAATGCAGAGGCAATCCCCCATGAGAATGCAGATGGAGTCCCCCATGAGAATGCAGAGGGAGTCCCCCATGAGAATGCAGAAGGAATCCCCCATGACAATGTAGAAGGAATCCCCCATAAGAATGCAGAGGGAATCCCCCATGATAATTCAGAGGCGATCCCACATGAGAATGCAGAGGCGATCCCACATGAGAATGCAGAGGCGATCCCACATGACAATGCAGAGGCGATCCCACATGAGAATGCAGAGGGAATCCCCCATGAGAATGCAGAGGGAATCCCCCATGAGAATGCAGAGGGAGTCCCCCATGAGAATGCAGAGACGATCCCACATGAGAATGCAGAGGGAGTCCCCCATGAGAATGCAGAGGGAATCCCACATGAAAATGCAGAGGCGATCCCCCATGAGAATGCAGAGGGGATCCCCCATGAGAATGCAGAGGGAATCCCCCATGAGAATGCAGAGGGAATCCCCCATGAGAATGCAGAGGGAGTACCCCATGAGAATGCAGAGGGAATCCCCCATGATAATTCAGAGGCGATCCCCCATGAGAATGCAGAGGGAATCCCCCATGAGAATGCAGAGGCAATCCCACTTGGATTCAACATAAAATCCTTCAATGTGAGCACCAAACCTATTGTCACCACAAACTCCTTTAATCTGACCGCCAAACTTCTTGTCTCCACAAAGGCCTTCAATGTTACTCCTAAACAGATCATCAAAACAAAACTCTTCAATGTGACCACAAGGCCCCAATCAGTAACTACCAATAATTTCAAAGAGAAGACAAAGGCTCATGATGTTCCTGGCAGACTCTCAATTGTGACAGCAAAGAGTCCTAATTTAGTGACGGTAGGTCATAACGTGGCCAAGAAGTCTTCAGATGTGATCATCAAGAATTACAACTTGACCATGATGTTTAAGGCTAACACAACAGCCCTTTCTAAACCCATTAAACTCCAAAAACCCACTCTACCCCCTCTGGACTATGGGGACACGTATACTATGGACGACACGTATTTAAAATCTGTAAGTCTTTGCTCTCTTTAGATCATCCAAGTATTTCACTCTCTATTGAGGCATGGTGCCATTTCTTCTGTGTAGTTCTACATGTCAGATCACTAATCAACTATGTTAGGACCCACACATCTGTATATTTAGCTTAAATCTGAAATGCCACTACTTTTCCTTAACAACTAAAATAAGAAAATCTTACTTTACTTTTTCCGACTCATGGCGTCCTCTGGTATGATCCAATCCAATGCTCCTCAAAGAGTAATAATGGGGACCTGATAGGCATTCTCAGCGAAAGCATCCTCGTAAGAAAGCATTGATTCAATGCTCTACAATTGGTGCTTCTTCATCACATGCCCGAGTTTTACTTTGCAGGATTTAGAGAACAAGGGCATCGAACCAAGGCCAGTCTGGTTCTGTAAGTTGCCATTGATATTTTATTTTTTTCTGCTGCCATCTGCCTTTTTAAAGGTGCATTTTAATTGATCTAACTGTCCAAAATGATTTAACTCATGACAACAAAGAAATAAATGATCTTACAAACAGCAATAATTACTGAGTAATGGATATATGCTGAAATATAGGTTTTCTAAACACCCTAGAAATGAAAGGACTATGGGATCCTGAGTTCGGCCAAAGGAAGTCCAGTTCTTAAAACTCTGTGGCTAGGGGATACCCAGCTCTCTGGTGAAGAGGCTATAAACCAACCTCAGTCCCTTCATCCGAGCCCTTATGCACCGAAACACGGAATTCCACGTCCCACTAACATAATCCATATAAAATAGGTCTACCTGCCTAACCCCCTTTTTGTTTTATCTCTGATCCCATAATTAATAGGACTGGGGCGATTTTAAATTGCAAAATAGGGCAACTTTTTCAAGAGGCAGTAGGCAAGCAAAAGATATTTTGTACATTTAAGCAGTTTTAAGGTATATTGGTAACTATAGTTTTTAAACCTACTGTAATTATAATGGAGTTCGAGTCCTGTAAAGCTCTTATATAACAAAGGGTAGCAAGGAATGGTAGAGCTTAAAGAGAGACTGTCAGCCAAAAAGGCATATTTGCCCTCTACAACTATTAATAAATGAGACAAAATGTCTTGCAGTCTATATTAGATATCTTGACTAAACTTTATGACCTTGGTAGTTTCCCAGAGTTCCACCCCTGCCTTCCAGGAATGTATCCATAGCAAAGCTATTGTCTTTACTAAAACTATCTGTACATTCTATGTTACGAACGTAAAGAGGATTAAGCGACAGTTACTCGTCACAAGTGATCATCATCTAGTGAATACCAGGTACAAGATAATGTTTAGTGCAATTTCTATTTGCAGCTAATTATACAATGTGACCTTTCCGTGGCTTACAGGTTCAATATTTCCTATAGCGGAATATTTATTAAACAGTGAAAATTGTGCTGTAGTGTCTGCAGAAGTTAGTAAAGTGCTTTTAGTTTTAAAAGGGGATAGATTCACGTAATCAAAATATAATTTGGGCTTTTTATAAATCAATGGCAAGACCCCGCCTTGAACATGCAGTGCAAATTTGGGCATCCGTTTTAAAGAAGGATATAAGTGCAGAGACAGGCTGCAAAATTAGTAAGGGGGATGGAAAACATTAGTTATGAAGTAAGGCTGGGGAAACTGCATTTTTTTTCTATAGTAAAAAGGCGCCTCAGAGGAGATATGATAGCACTAGACAAATATATACAGGGTCAGTACAAACCACTGTGTGCTAACCTGTTAATTAATCGGAATACAGCTACACAACTGACAAGAAATCACCAATTGAGACTGGAAGAAAGGAGTTTTTCACTTGCAGAAGAGGAAAGGGTTCTGTACAGTAAGAACAATAAAGGAATTCTCTGCCTAAAGAGGTTGTCTTATCAGATACATTTAGGATATAATTGATATATGTACGTGAACAAGTTTTTGAGCGAAAGAAAATTCTGATTGTTATTATGGAGTCAGCAAGGGGGCATAATTAGAAATGTCTACAATTGTTTGGTTTGGCTTATGGTTGGATGGGATAGCGTTAACTACCAACAAATAATTTAGATTCTAAACATATGAGGCATTTAACAATCAGGGCTGATATGTGACTCAATTTGAGTTATTTTTCTCAAAATAGATTTTATAATTATTTTACTTATTTTATAATGTTTAACATTTTATTTATTTTTAATGTGTTAGGTGTACATATAAGCAGAGAGGGCTTGAAACATATGGCTTCGGGGGCAACAACACTTTAGTGGTCCATAGTGCAATTTTACCAACCCACCCATTAATATCACCGATAGACACAAGTACACAAACAAAATAGATGTGTTAATAGACATACCAGATAATTGAATAAAAATAATTAAAGTGCTATGCACTTGGACATTAACATGAGAAAAGTGGTTTGATAGCCGCCTGGGGAGCAATTGCGCACTGGGCACTAGGACATCACTAATCAATAAGGGAGATATCCAAACCAGTTGAGCATTTAGCTAAATAATGTCCTGAAGGATTTTCCTGCATAATATTTTATTTATTTATAAAATATTTTATCAGGATGGATACATTGAGATTTCTCTCGTTTTTAAGTATGTCCTGGGTCCACAAAACATTGCATTGTTACAATAGGATACAATATTACAAAAAATACATACTATATATATATACATACACACACACACACACACATAAATTTAACCCATAACAGGTGATAAATATATTCAACCATGACAAGTGCATTCTGTGCTGAGGTATATTGCCATAGATCTCTTAAAAGATTTTAGATTGATTTGACTGCGTCCCTGAGGTTATTCCATAATTGTGGTGCTCTGTAGGAAAATGAGGATCGAGACACTTTATTTTTGTATTGCGGTATGCTACATATCGTGCTAGTACAGGATCGGAGGTTATAGGAGGTGGGAACAGCTGGGGAGAACATTCTATTCAGGTAGGGTGGGAACGAATTATAGAATGTTTTAAGTTTATTAAGGTGGGTTTGCAATGCAGGGGAATAGACCACATCCCCAAAATCAATGACTGGCATTAGCATTTGTTGCACGGTTTCCTTACTGTATGGTTTAGGCAGGAGTTGTTTCTGTACAGGGCACCTAGTTTTGGGTAAAGTTTTGAAGAGATTTTTTCAATGTGAAGGCCAAAGGATAGATTGGGGTCTAGCAACATACCTAAATATTTAAAAGAACAGGCTGCTGTCAGTGTGCTATTTTGAATTTGTCCTGATACATACTTGTTGATTTTGCAGCTTACGTAATTTAAGTACAGTTCCAAAGATCATTGTAACTGTGTGGTCAGTGTTTGGGAAGAGTTTGTTATCCGCTATCCAATTTTCGACCTCTGTGAATTGGTTTTGGAGCACAGCCTCAAGCTGCGGTAGATTGGATTTACTAGCGTAGATTACAGTGTCGTCTGCGTACATGTGTACAGTTGAGGATTTGCAGACTTTGGGCAGATCATAAATCTGTGAATAGTAGGGGGCCGAGTATGGAGCCTTGGGGAACACCACAAGTTTCTGGAAGAGGGAGGCACTTTCAGAAATGGCCACATATTGCAATCGGCCTTAAACATATGATCGAAACCAGGTTAGCGTAAACATATAATCGAAACCAGGTTAGCGGACAATTACCAATGCCTGATTTTTTAAGTTTTTGCAAAAGGATGCCATGGTCTACTGTGTCAAATGCCTTGGCAAAATCAAGGAAAGTAGCTCCAGTTAAGTCTCCTTGTTCCATGCTAATTTGGATGCCTTTGCAAACTTTTAAGAGGACAGCCGAAGTTGAGTGATTTGGACGAAAGCCTGATTGATCATGGGTCAGATAAGTTGATCGTTGATAATATTCACATAGTTGTGTGTGGACGCATTTTTCCGAGATTTTTGACAATACAAGGAGCAATGATATCGGGCGATAGTTAGATACCAAAGTCCTGTCACCACTTTTATGGATAGGTACAACTTTTGCAGTCTTCCAAAGATTGGGTATGTATCCTGACACCAGGGATTCATTGATTAGGGTAGTGACAGCTTTAGCAATTGCTGGCGCACTGAGCTTCAGCAACATTGCTGGGATTTGATCTGGTCCACACTGAGCTTCAGCAACATTGCTGGGATTTGATCTGGTCCACACTGTTTTTTCATTTTTAAATTATTAAGATGTTCATTAACGACACTAACGGGCACAGGTCTAAAATGGAATTTCTCTATATGAGGATTTTGAAGATTTGTCAGAGCCTGATGTTTATTTACGGTCTGACAATGAGTGTCATTGTTATCTTAGCAACCAGGGTGGTGGCACACCCAACAAAATAATTATTAAAGGCATTTGCTAAATGTAGGGGGTGTTGCAGTGTTTGGCTGTCCATTTTGACAGTGGAGGGTTGGGAGTGGATGGTGGGGGTTTGTATGCCAGAAGTTTCTTGGGTTTGACAGGTTGTTCAAATTTTCACAGAAATATTGGGCCTTTGCCATTTTTGTTTGTTTTGTGCATATATTTCCCCAATGTCTGAAAGTACAGTGATCGTTCATGGAGCCAGTACGCTTGAACTTTGACCACAATAAATCTCTAAACTGGTACATTTGAATGAGGTTAGTGTAGCGGAACGCCAATAAATAATCCACGAATTCCGCTGGTTCAGAAACGAATCCACAGTCAAACGCTGAAACAACAAGGCAATATCCCCAACCTCCCAGTAACCGGACGAGACACAGTTCTGAGAGTCAACTGAAATCCTTTTAATCGGCTGGACAATTTATACAAGTCCCCATGCAAGGGGTTTCCTGAGTCCCTTCCCAGGGGCACTCCCAGAGGGGACTACATGGGGGACTTACAGTACAGCATATTTCTCCCATCAGGCACTGCTGCACGAGAGGGATCATCTTCCCAGAATGCACCGTTAAGTGAATTATCCCCTCGTGCAGCAGAACCGACAATTTAAACAAAAATACATAACTTGTTAAATATATGGTGGATTTACACGAATGGACGTTCGGTAGATAGCTGGGGTCTGAGCGCATCATTCGAATGGCTATTTGTAGTACTGTGCGTTCGACGACCTCGCACCGCTGAGGGAACAAAGGATCCAAGATGGCCGACCGCCGCATGGTCGGTAGTCGAACGACGGCCACCCAGGAGAGCCTCTGATAACCGATTGCAACAATGTTGCAATCGGTTAACTAGCGCCACACGCCTCTAAGTGTGTGGGCTATTAGGGGGTATCGCGTTCGGTTCACGAACGGCTCTCCAAAGTACCGTTCGTGAAACGAAAGAAACCCCCATACAAAACCGCCATTTGCATTCGGCAAACGGCAATGCAAAACATACATACAGCATACACATGAAATGAAGCACATATCTCTCTAGACATACAGGCAACCCTTAAAGGCACAGTCTCTTTGTATTGTCCAAGTGGCTAGGTTTGCCACAGTTAGCTGTAACCCAGGACAGGTGTGTCCCTTTTAGTTGCACTTTACGCAGAGGGGCATGCAAATTCCAAACACGCAAGCGCTCGGACTGAAAAAATGCAATTGCAGAGTCTAGACCTGGTATTGGACCTAATCTGTGCCATGGTATATTCTTGAGATTGTTTACAAAGGATTCAAGATTACATTTTGTGAAAGACCTGGCGATTATAATCTTGGGAGGGGATTTAATGGCCTTTATTTTGCGTATGCAATACACTAGACGGTGGTCACTGAAACTGTTAGAGAGAACGCCCAGCTCCTGGATTCTGTCAGGACAACTGGAGAGAATCCAATGTAGCAAGGTATGGTGTAACGGATCACCTGGCACCCCGACTGGGTACCTCCGTTGAAGGATGCTCCTAGCACTTCCTGAGGGCTCCAAGCACTCCAGCCGACACCATAACCACTGTAGACTCCTTCCGAGAGCAAGACAGGAACAAGCTCTTAAAAGAGCTTAGAAGTGATTATCCAAGGGAGCATGCAGAGCATAGCAATCCCTTGTAGTGATATAGCAATTCCCCCAATAAGAGACAGGACTCTAGATTGAGGGTGAAGAAGAACTGAACTTTTCTTCAAACACTCTGCTTTTATGCCCATTCTACAAACATAGTACTGCCCACAGGGTTTTGAAGTACAACCAATCAATAAATATAATACACTTAGACACTCCCATACAAAATCCTCCCCTCTGCCTGTGATATAATTACTAAACACAATGGGCTAACATAATTATCACAGGCAGGAAAATACACAGTTTTGCACAATATTCATAACTGTAAAAGTATGCATCACATTCACATAAAACTTACATTTTCAGAATCAGTATACTCCAAATACAAACTTACTATTTGTATGCTCCAAATACAGCATACTATTCATAACAACAGCAAAAATACACAAAAATACATAATTCCTATCAACAGAACCCCCACACTCAATATATCCAAACAGCGCTCAGATCCCACAAACACAGTCAAATCGCCATGGGGTTTAGGTTTAGCATGGGCTGATGAGAGTGGGCCATAGTCATGAGGCAGGAGGCTGGCAATCAGGCTTCTCCATAAGCCAAGGACACAGGGCAATTTGTCACATAAAATCCCAGAAGTTTGTAACATATGGCTCTGGCTTTTAATATTAATGTGAGTTGGGGAGGAAATTAATTGTGTTAGCTGCAAAGTCTTAAACAGTGAACATGATTTATTATTTCTAGGATTCAGCCAATCAATATTAAAATCTCCAATAACCAACAGTTAACTTTTTTGGTTTTGAGCAGTTTCACATAGTAGTTGGGCTATGTCAGAAAGGGAGTGCACCGGAGAGCTAGGTGGGTGGTAGATTGCAGCAACAATTATAGTTTTACTGAAAGGGATCTCAATTGTGCCAGAAAGGAAATCAAAGGCAGAAGGGGAGTTATAGTTTTTTAAAGGAGTAAATATTATGGACTTGTCAATATAAATAACAATGCCACCTCCTCTCTTTGCTCTGTCATTTCTAAAACATGATTACCCCTGTATTGCAATGGCGGTGTCTGGTATTTTAGTCGTTAACGATGATTCGGGGAGCACAATGATTTTTGGTTTGTAATGGGAACACCAGGCTTGCAGTGCATTCAGTTTAGGGAGTAAGCTATGCATGTTGCAGTGCACAAAAGAGAGGCCTTTTTTAGTGGGGAGATTAAGACTAGAATTAGCTGGGGGACCAGGGTTAGACTCCACATCATTTGCAAAGGCAAGTAACATAAGGAATAGGAATGTGGGCATCATTTTTGTTTGACCATATAATGAATGCGATACTTTATAATTTTGTGAGGTGGAGGTAAGATGGCTATTTTTTATAACTTTCCACCAGCACTCAGCAGATAAGTTACAGCAACAGAGCAGGCCATGGTGTATGATAATTCGTTTTCCAGTTTGAGATGTGTGCATAAAACATGTATATAATGCCAATGATGAGTTAATGCGTAAACGTGGTATATCATCCCAATGATTAGTAAAATGCATAAACTTGGTCTATCTTGACAATGATTACTTAATATATAAACTTGGTATATCACGCCAATGAACAGTAAATTCATAAAATTCGCATAATATGCCAATGAGCCATATGTGCCCCCAAAGCCTGCCAATGACATTTGTGCTGCCAAACCTGCCAGTGCCATCTCTCTGCCCCCAGCCTCTCTGTGCCATCTCCCTACCCCCAGCCTCTCAGTACCATCTCTCTGCCCCAGCCTCTCTGTGCCATCACTTTGACCACATCCTCTCTGTGCCATCTCTCTGCACCCAGCCCCTCTGTGCCACCTGTGCCCCAGCCTCTCTGTGTTGTCTCTTTGCCCCCAGCCTCTCTGTGCCACCTCTCTGCATCATCTCTCTGCCCCCAGCCTCTCTGTACCATCTCTTTGCCCCCAGCCTCTCTGTGCCATCTCTCTGCCTAAGCCTCTCTGTGCCATCTGTCTGACCCGAGCCTCTCTGTGCCATCTCTCTGCACCCAGCCTCTCTGTACCATCTCTGCACCCAGCCTCTCTGTGCCATCTGTCTGACCCGAGCCTCTCTGTGCCATCTCTCTGCACCCAGCCTCTCTGTGCCATCTCTGCCCCCAGTCTCTCTGTACCATCTCTCTGCCTAAGCCTCTCTGTGCCATCTGTCTGACCCGAGCCTCTCTGTCCCATCTCTCTGCACCCAGCCTCTCTGTGACATCTCTGCCCCCAGCCTCTCTGTACCATATCTCTGCCAAAGCCTCGCTGTGCCATCTGTCTGACCCGAGCCTCTCTGTGCCATCTCTCTGCACCCAGCCTCTGTGCCATCTCTGCACCCAGTCTCTGTGTCATCTCTGCACCCAGCCTCTCTGTGCCGTCTCATTGCCCCCAGCCTCTATGTGCTGTCTCTTTACCCCCAGCCTCTCTCTGCCTCAGCCTCTCTGTGCCATCTGTCTGACCCGAGCCTCTCTGTGCCATCTCTCTGCACCCAGCCTCTCTGTGCCATCTCTGCCCCCAGTCTCTCTGTACCATCTCTCTGCCTAAGCCTCTCTGTGCCATCTGTCTGACCCGAGCCTCTCTGTGCCATCTCTCTGCACCCAGCCTCTCTGTGCCATCTCTGCCCCCAGCCTTTCTGTACCATATCTCTGCCAAAGCCTCGCTGTGCCATCTGTCTGATCCGAGCCTCTCTGTGCCATCTCTCTGCACCCAGCCTCTGTGCCATCTCTGCACCCAGTCTCTGTGTCATCTCTGCACCCAGCCTCTCTGTGCCGTCTCTTTGCCCCCAGCCTCTATGTGCTGTCTCTTTACCCCCAGCCTCTCTCTGCCTCAGCCTCTCTGTATCATCTCTCTGCCCCCAGCCTTTCTGTACCATCTCTCTGCCCCCAGCCTCTCAGTGCCATCTCTCTGCCCCCAGCCTCTCCGTGCCATGTCTCTGCCCCCAGCAACTTTCTCAGCCACTCTGCTTGCATCCCCAGTACTTGCTCTGTACCCAGATGGATGACATCCCCTGTATTTACCCCAGGACCCAGATGGCATGCCCTGCATTTACCCCACAACCCATTAACCCCAAGATTTAGATGGTATCTTCAGGACCTCCCTGGTGTCTATTGGGAGGCACAGTCTACATTCTGTCTGTCTTTCGTCCTCTCCACATATTTGGTAAAGTCAGAGGTCATGGGTCATGTGACTTGCGACCTCTGACTTTCCGAGACATGTGGGGAGTGCGAGAGTCAGACAGGTAGGATGTAGACTGTGCACATACACCACACCGTCTGTCTCCCTCTCCCCGCAGAGGCGGCTGACTAGCTGCCAGCTGCAAAATATACCGGTAATGCTGCTTGTATATTCCTAATTCTGGCACTTGTTGGATGACCACAGCGGCCGGTATCGCTAGAGTTTTGGGCGGCCTCCCAGCCTGCTCCTGCATAAAAGATAAAATAAACAATTTTTGTAAAAAAAAAAAGAGAAAGAACGCGATATATAATATGTATGGGTGCACTTCAAGTGGAACCTTTATATTATGGTGAAACAAACATGTAGCACACATTCTAGGTTTTGTTTTCGGTTCATCTTTAAAGGGTTCATAATTACACCCCCTCATTGTCTTACACCTTTATTTACATTTATTATTTATTTATTATTCTTTCTTGTGCCAGAGCTCATTGCGCCTCTTACTCTCCAGTTCGTTTTCCTCTGTCCGTAATGTCTGCAGTTTGCACTTCTATGTGATTATTTTACTGATGGTTGTGGGTATATTACCTTTGCAACTAAAGCATAGTTTTAATTTAGCCCCTCCCCTCGTTCCCCTCCACAGACCTGTCCGAAACGCACAAGAGATACGCTGCGCACTGGAGAATTTAAGGATGCATTCTTGGATACCATTCCAGTTTTGCAATGGAAAAAATATGCAAATGTGTCAGAATATCAAAGACTACAGAAATACGGGGGGGCGTTTGGATGGAGTGGGGTCACATGGGACAGTAAGTCATTGATTTGTAACGTAGACTGAATACATCCTTACTAATACAATAAAATGTTAGTTTCATGGGCTTTTACAGTTGCACTCCCATTAGAAACTTTATTTGTACCATTAAGATCTCCCTGGAATTTATAAATGTTCCGTTGTTTAATTCAAACGTACCTGTAATCTAATTTAACACAATAACCTTGACTTATTGTGGGTATGGTTCAGGCTGTGAAAAACATCACATTTCCTTTTCATTATACAGTGGAATCAATGTATTAGTTAAAATCCTATGTTCTGATTGGATACTTTTTTCACATGCTTGCTGTTGTCATTTTCAAACATGTGCTCCTCCACCTGGAATACACTCATATTTCCAAATTGGGCTCGGTTATTTATAGACTATGATTAATTAACAAATTGAAATTCGAGGCAAGTTAGCTCATATAGGAAAATACGCTAACCATTTTGTAATTTAAACCACTAAAACTCAATGTTTACAGAATAAAATCGCCGGGAATTTAAAAGTAAATTTGACATGTTAATCCACGTAGCCAAACTGGAAAAAAAAACAATAATATTTTGGCCTAAACGTTTAAATCAACTTTGAATTCCCAACAAGTCACACTTTACTTTGGTAATTTAAATGTCCTATGCCAATGCTATGCTTGATAAAGACCCGGTAGGTTCAAAACGTTGCTGCTTTTGCCCCAAAAAGCTGCTATTTTTGTTACCCCAGAGTGCTTGAACCATTATTTATTCTGCATATTTTGGAAGGAAGGCCTGGCCAGCCCTGGTTTCAGAGCACCTGGGTTACTTGGTGAGTGCGGTATCCAGTACGTCTCTACTATGGGACACTGTAGGCACTATAATCATTCCATGTCTTTGAATTGGTTATCTTGCCTGGAGTCACCTGGCACCGTCCCCAGTACGTCTCTACTATGGGACACTGTAGGCACCATAATCATTCCATGTCTTTGATTTGGTTATCTTGCATGGAGTCACCTGGCACTGTGCCCAGTACGTCTCTACTATGGGACACTGTAGGCACCATAATCATTCCATGTCTTTGATTTGGTTATCTTGCCTGGAGTCACCTGGCACCGTCCCCAGTACGTCTCTACTATGGGACACTGTAGGCACTATAATCATTCCATGTCTTTGAATTGGTTATTTTGCCTGGAGTCACCTAGCACCGTCCCTCTATTCAATGTAAAAACATTTTTGAGCAGTTTGGGTATATTACCTTGGCAATTGAAACATTTTAATTTAGATTATTCAGTGGCTACACTGAATGACAGCTATATTTAAACTATTTAAAGCTAGCAACTATTAGTTATAATAAGACTCCAGCGTTAATGGTACGTGTTTGTGTACTGAACACTAGAGTGTTCCATTAATGGTTTGAAATAGTTGGACAGGGAGCTGGGAATGGGCAGAACACCCTTGAAATACATTAAAATATAATTGTTGTTTGTGTTAAATACTTATTAAGTCTTGCCTTTTCATGTTGGGTGTTATTCCATCTAGTTGTGAACGAGACTTTAAACCTACTAAATGCTTCGAATGGCGGTTACCTCTTTGACAACTGGAAAGGACGTCGCCCGTGTGTGCGTTGTGCTGTTCTAGGAAACGGTGGTATAATGAATGGATCTGGCATGGGGAAAGAGATCGACGCACATGACTACGTTTTCAGGTAGGAATCTGCTAAAAGGGTTCTACAAATTGAACTACTTTTGACTGTGCCACTTTATTAATGCATGGTTTTATTTATTTTTTTCCACTTAATTTTTTCTTAGGGTTAATGGCGCCATAACAAAGGGATTTGAAAAGGATGTTGGAAACCGGACATCATTCTTCTTTTTCTCAACAAACACGCTGATGAATTCATTAACTGCTTATGGAAGGCAAGGATTCAAACAAGTGCCGCGTTCAGAGGTATTCAGATTGTCCGGGAAACACTCATGATGCACGGACAGTTTGAAGCTTATAAACTTATCGAAATCAAATCGCTTGAACTCTCCTCTTCTCTCCGCAGGAAACGCGATTCCTACTTTTACCGGACCATGATCGAGATTATCTGCTTGTTCGAGCTGCTCTTACAAACAGCACCATTGACCGAGGCAAAGACAAGTCCAGAATGTAGGTTATGTTTGCACTTTCCCACGGTGCCCTCTTAATTAAGCATAGCAGTCTACACCGTGTCCGCCTACTGAATTTCCAGCAACTTGCTTAAAATTAGAACATTTCCCAGGAGTTAGTAGGCATGGATCAAGCTGGAGAGGATTATAATATGAGCAGTACTTGCTATAGTGCTTGCTATGTTCAGAGTGTCACAATTCTTAACTTATCCAACCTTCCCTTCTCTCTGCAGCCCAGCCCGCTACTTTGGTCAGCATTTAACCACAGAACATTTTAAGATCCTGCACCCAGACTTCATGCGTTATTTGAGAAACAGGTGAGGGGATATTTTAACCTTGTGCAAATTCTATTTCCAGGAACAGTAAGGATAATCCAAGCAAGGTTACCATTAGGGTGCAGAGGCAGGGCTCTGAAGTGGATTTTGTACTTTGGGGGTCTCAGAGATGAGGGCGTGGTAATCAAGCAGCTCTCACAATCATCCTTTGTGCCAATACCTGAGGAGTCCCCTAAGTGCAGATATGCCATAAGACAACAGGGTACACAGCCTGGTCCCCCCCCATTCCCCCCGCTCAGACAGCAGGGTCTGGGCCCCCCATTCCCTCCCTCTCAGACAGCAGGTAAGCAGCCTGGGGCCCCCCATTCCCTCTCTCTCAGACAGCAGGTAAGCAGCCTGGGGCCCCCCATTCCCCCTCTCTCAGACAGCAGGTAAGCAGCCTGGGGCCCCCATTCCCCCTCTCTCAGACAGCAGGTAAGCAGCCTGGGGCCCCCCATTCCCCCTCTCTCAGACAGCAGGTAAGCAGCCTGGGGCCCCCATTCCCCCTCTCTCAGACAGCAGGTAAGCAGCCTGGGGCCCCCATTCCCCCTCTCTCAGACAGCATGTAAGCAGCCTGGGGCCCCCATTCCCCCTCTCTCAGACAGCATGTAAGCAGCCTGGGGCCCCCATTCCCCCCCTCTCAGACAGCAGGTAAGCAGCCTGGGGCCCCCATTCCCCCCCTCTCAGACAGCAGGTAAGCAGCCTGGGGCCCCCATTCCCCCTCTCTCAGACAGCAGGTAAGCAGCCTGGGGCCCCCCATTCCCCCTCTCTCAGACAGCAGGTAAGCAGCCTGGGTTCCCACAGCCTGGGGCCCCCATTCCCCCTCTCTCAGACAGCAGGTAAGCAGCTCATTCCCCATTCCCCTCTCTCAGACAGCAGGTAAGCAGCCTGGGGCCCCCATTCCCCCTCTCTCAGACAGCAGGTAGCAGCAGCCTGGGGCAGCCTGGGGCCCCCCATCTCAGACAGCAGGTAAGCAGCCTGGGGCCCCCATTCCCCCTCTCTCAGACAGCAGGTAAGCAGCCTGGGGCCCCCATTCCCCCTCTCTCAGACAGCAGGTAAGCAGCCTGGGGCCCCCCATTCCCCCTCTCTCAGACAGCAGGTAAGCAGCCTGGGGTTCCCACAGGTAAGCAGCCTGGGGCCCCCATTCCCCCTCTCTCAGACAGCAGGTAAGCAGCCTGGGGCCCCCATTCCCCCTCTCTCAGACAGCATGTAAGCAGCCTGGGGCCCCCATTCCCCCCCTCTCAGACAGCAGGTAAGCAGCCTGGGGCCCCCATTCCCCCCCTCTCAGACAGCACGTATTATTTCACCCTCTCCAGAGAAAGGTTATGGTAACAACCTTCCTATACACAGAATTAGAATCAATGTCTGTCTGCATCATCGTGATTCTCTTTGTAAACGTTGTTTACTTTTCGCAGGTTTCTCTGGTCTCCAATTTTAAAGACTAAGTTTCGGAATATATATCGTCCGTCCACAGGAGCCGCCATGCTGCTTGCGGCTGTCCATACTTGTGATGAAGTAAGAAATATTCTATGTCCTGTTATGGTCTGACTCTGAAATGTACACCTCCTGCCCCAAGGATATGGCAGCCATGTTTATTTTTTACCCCTTCCTAGTGCCCTCTTTAGCAACACCAGAGGAACATTCCATAGTGGGTAACACTTCCAGCCAACCCTCAGACTCTAACTCTTTAATCAGAATAAGAACGATCCGCAGATCCTGGTCCCCTCTCGATGTAGCAGAGGGTGTGCTTGTGCCATACAGAGAACGAAATGAACGAGAACTGCTCGTGCAATGGTGGCAGTTGCACTGGCATGAAAGCACTCGCGCATGCTTGGCTCCTGCCATTAAATAACTTAAGACTTGAATGTCTGCCCTTGGCTGCACTATGCTCCAATTTATAACACTGGAGTGTGCAAACAAAGTAGCCAGCGTATCATTGATAAAAACTTAATAAAACAAATATTACACACTATAAAACAATGCTGCAATATTGATACAAACGATAATTGGCAGAAAGTTAACTGACACAAAGTAAATCCTTCTACAATCACTGACTTGGTGTCTTGGTAAAAGGTCAGTACGGCAAGATTTACAGAAGAACTTTTTGATAAAAATGCTTTTTGTTGAAATGTTTACTCATTCGATGAGAAGGGTCAACTGTCATCGCGTTCATTATAACATAGAAATATAGAAACATAGAATGTGACGGCAGATAAGAACCATTCGGCCCATCTAGTCTGCCCAATTTTCTAAATACTTTCATTAGTCCCTGGCCTTATCTTATAGTTAGGATAGCCTTATGCCTATCCCACGCATGCTTAAACTCCTTTACTGTGTTAACCTCTACCACTTCAGCTGGAAGGCTATTCCATGCATCCACTACCCTCTCAGTAAAGTAATACTTCCTGATATTATTTTTAAACCTTTGTCCCTCTAATTTAAGACTATGTCCTCTTGTTGTGGTAGTTTTTCTTCTTTTAAATATAGTCTCCTCCTTTACTGTGTTGATTCCCTTTCTGTATTTAAATGTTTCTATCATATCCCCCCTGTCTCGTCTTTCCTCCAAGCTATACATGTTAAGATCCATTTAACCTTTCCTGGTAAGTTTTATCCTGCAATCCATGAACCAGTTTAGTAGCCCTTCTCTGAACTCTCTAAGGTATCAATATCCTTCTGGAGATACGGTCTCCAGTACTGCGTACAATACTCCAAGTGAGGTCTCACCAGTGTTCTGTACAATGGCATGAGCACTTCCCTCTTTCTACTGCAAATACCTCTCCCTATACAACCAAGCATTCTGCTAGCATTTCCTGCTGCTCTATTACATTGTCTGCCTACCTTTAAGTCATCAAATAAGAGGACTAAAGGAAAATAACATGTAATGTGTACGCTGCTCTCTAGTGGCTGATTAAGGTTACTGCCTGAAAAAATAGAGTTAAACAGAAGGCCTGCTTTGTCCATTAGGAACAGCTCATCAAGTTAAAGGGAAACTATTTTAAAAATGTCCCCCCCCCCCTCAATAGTTTTAAGGCATTATACAGACTATGAACAAAGGAGAGGTTGCATGCAGCTACAGACAGATTTCTCCACAACCAGGAAAAACATCTCATCTCTGGTCTGTGAAGGTCTACTATTATCCCATAAATCCCCATCCACTAGCTATTTATGGAGTGCAGCTGCTCTGCAAACTGAAAGTAGCGATACACAGCGATACAGCACTACTGTAAGCTTATACACAGGGGAAACCTTCCAAAGCTCGTACCATCACCTTCCCACATCACATCGGAACAAAGTGGGACCCTGTCTACTACAAGCAAGCCAACAAGAAAAGTGCAGGGTCCGTGTCCTAGAAAGGGACATGGCTTTGGGGGCTTCAGTCATATTTGTCGCATGACCTTGACATTTTTTGCAAGGAAGCGATGAAACGCATTGGTACAATCTTTATGAAATACTGCTCCTAAATCTAACGATACCATAAGCAAAGTAGGACGTCTTTGTCTCCTAGTAAATCTAAGGTTGACAAAGACTGACAAAGGTGAAGCTCTGCTGTCTTTTGTCCAGTCCCAGCAGCCATGACAATTGACGGCTGAGGGATTCAGACACCGATCTGCTGAGGCTTCCGTGAGAGTACAGCACTATCACGGCTCCTGGCAGATGAAGAGCATGCTCAGAGAGAAGTTGGCAGCTAAGGGTCAGCTTAGAAAGGTCAAATATTTCCCACAAATCATCCACAATTCCAAATGAACGTGGACCAATAGGAGTGAAAACCTGCCTATATTAACTCACCTCTCCCACTCCTGGCTGTCCTGTTGTGGTTCTTGTTAGTCCAATAACGTTTTAGTGTAGTTATCATTTCTGGTTATTATCCTGTGTTTGATTTATCTTCATTCCTGTCTTCTGTACTCCTTTGACCCCAGATTGTGTATCTTTTATCCTGATCTCTGTATCCCTTTGACCACTGCTTTTTTTCTTTGACTCTGTTCATTGTTAGCCCGGCACTCGAAGGACCAGTATACAGAAAGTCTGCCTTTTGTGTTTGGTCTGTGAGTTTTGGTTCCTACGGATCCTGACACTTAAGAGAACTTTTTAGTTTACTTTTAGCTTTTAAGAATACGTTTTTTAGGAGTTAAGTTTTACCTTGTTTTGCCTCAAACCAAATTTGAGTGAAAAGTCAATGCACTATTAAGGCAGTTTTAAAAAAAATATTTCAGAATATATATATATATTCTCTCTCTATAAAAACTCAGATGTGACAGGATTACTATAACACATCTAACTGTACGGGAATATTTTACTAAACGAAAGACTATTTTTTAATTAGAAAAGGCTGCATTTAGCATTTTTCCTCCTTTGGATTTTCTGTAAATTCTTGTTTGACTCTATATTTATTTATTTATTTATATCAGTGGTGAGAAAATCTTAAACTGTCTATGATTTATGTCCCGCTGGCACCTTGTGCATGTACACTTTACTACGGGGAAACTATATTTAAAAAAGCATGTTAAAATAAAAATGTCTGTGAAAATTTTTTTTTTTTTAAATTCACCTTTTTTGTTAAATATGGATGTTGTACGCTGCAGAAATATTTACCAAACCACCTACTGTCCTTCTCTCTTAGGTTAACGCTTATGGATTCATGACACCAAACTACGCTAAGTTCTCAGATCATTACTACGATGCCAAATATAAAAAGGTTGTTTTCTACGCGAATCACAGTTTCCGTAAAGAGATGGAAGTGTGGCAGAATTTGCACAAAGCGGGCGTTATTAAACTGTATATGAGGAACGGAGACAGTAATCCACAGGAGCAAGCGTACAATCAGAGGACTTGAATTTGAGGCTTGTATCAAGTCAAGATCGGCTGAGACAAAGAAGCGGCTGTTTAAATCTGCAAAATGTCCAGTGTCCCGATACGTGCCTTGACGTATCTGCATCAAGGGAGACTGGCAGTGCCAGCCTCGGCAGTCGTGCGATTGTTCGGCAATTTTGCATGACATGACACGGAAATTAACGTTTTGAAATTGTCCTTATTGACAACCACAATCAATGCAACATATTGTGTACCAGAGAACAATAAGTGCTGGTGGGAGATTTACACATTTATTTATATAGTAATAACACTGATACGGTTTTATGGAGGTGACGAAGAGTATGCTGGGATATTGCTTTACTTTCTCGTAAAACACTAAGTATCCTCAGTGGTGCACATATCTGTCCCTCATGTGAATATTTCACCAGGCTGGTCTTTGGGAATTTGTAGAACACATCAGGAATTGGGTACTATTTACAGGCTTGAAGTCTGTTCTTATTTATTATCTGTTGTAATTTTGCAAAAGGGTACTAAACTGGCCGTTGGGCTAACGTTCTATTTAACTAATGTAATTATAATAATGTAATAACAGTTCACACTCCACGTTTGGCTGTAGGAACCAATCACAGGATTGGTACAGAATGGTGAAGAGTACAGGTAACTAATTCAGCATTCTGACTATGTAATGAAGTAACACAAAACAAGCAATTTTCTCTTGTAAATTGGGTCATCAAGATGAATGCACACAGGCGTGTTCTATTAAATCTTAATCTAGTTTAAAAACCTAAAGGAAACGTTGGCACTCACAGTAAAGCTTTAGAGCGATTTTATTCCCCTTGTGTTGTCGCTTGTACAGTGGGGTTAGAGGATGCGGACGTACACAGAGAGGGTGGTCCTAAATTAAATTTAGCTTCAATAAACAAAATGCTGGTATTTTATAACAAGAATAATACTTTTTAATATTAGACTATATTCATTTTCCATTCAAGGCAAGTTTAACAATGAATTACATATATGTGTCTAAAATTAGGATTTCATATATACAGGGTATTCACTAGAGTGTGAACTGCCGGGAATGCAAACTAAATTTCAAGTTTTAGGTCCAAATAGTTAAACTGATAACCATTGTGGACTTGGAGAATTTGTCCAACGTGGCTGTTTCGGACTAAATACTAAAATTCACTTTGAATTCCTAACATAAATGTATAACAATCTTACAGGCATTATTAGGGTAAAGATGCTGATATAAGTCGGTAATTCACCTTTCCATAAGGGAATGTGTGAAACAGTGTATGTATTTACAGAAGATCTCACCTACATATATTTTGGCCATGCTGCTTGTATATAGGTCAGAGGAAGACTTAAACTATACATGTCCGTACAACATACTGGATAATACACATCTGTATAAACTACATGTAACCTGGTGCAGTGTAACAACACGCAGTGTGCATGCATGGCTGCATCATGCACTGCCACATACACAGCAATCAGTGGGATTAGAATAACAGCTATAAATTAAATTATAATGAACCCTATTTATAGAATATTTTCCCAGTAATGGTATCGCTTATATAGAGAGAGAAAAAAACCCAGAAAACACCAAAACAAAATCTAGTCGAATATGAACATGATCAGAGCATTTAAGCCAACTCAAGTACAGACAGCAGATTCTCGATCACACATGTCAATCAGAAGTCTGAAGCTGCTTACATCTGCAAAAATAGGGATTGGAAGAGCCAAACGTTTTGAACAGCTAATAATTTCTTCTCATTATTCTATCTCAGGGCTTGGGAAATTTGTCTGGAATCTAGGAGCCAGTTAAAAAAGTTAGGAGCCAGTATTTTATTTATTTTTTTAAAAGGGCACTATAGTCACCAGAACCACTACAGCGTAATGTACAGTATACAGCTAAATGTAGTGGTTCTGGTGACTATAGCCTATCCCTGTAACCAGCGCGAAGGAGCAGAAAGGAGCCGCTGGAAGATCACTGCTCCCTCTCACGCTGCCCCATCCGACCGCCTTGATGCTCCACTGAGCCGGCCGCCTATATCAAGCACAGGGCGGCCGGCTACAATGCTCACTCAGCCGGCCACCTCCATGAAGCCCAGGGCGGCCGGCTCCAACGCTCACTGAGCCGGCTGCCTACATGCTCCCGCGGATGGACGGCCGGCTCCATTATTTTCCCAGCCAAGTGTTTTACATAAAAAGCTGACAAATCCCAGGCGCCAGGGCAAAATTTTTAGTCTAACATTACCAGCTCTGTAAGTGATGTCTTGCATTACACATACTGTTTGCGGTCTCCCTGGTACTCCATTACACAGCTTTCTGTCATGTATCAGGACAGGCTTAGACTGAATGTATCTGATCCAGAGTCTCAGACTGAACGAATACAGCTGGAGGCCTAGACTGACCTCTGGCGAAAGGCCTCACTCTCAGCCCTAGAGATGCTGCTTCAATACTGACAGGAGGGAAATGCAGAAGGCTCTTTACGTGGTTTGTTTCTTCCATACCAGGACTGATCCACCCAATTGCTGCCCCTCTCATCCCGGCTGTCATGGTAACGGTTGCTGTAGAAAAGGGTACCAAATAAGAGATTATGAGTCAAGATGTCAGGCTCACACAGTAAGAGAATCATAGAATGTAAAACCTCACAGTCTGAGTGAAGTGTTTAAAAAAAAAAAATATCTGAAGGCTCAACAGAGAACGAATGACTAGTCTTGACAAAGCAAATGCTGAATGACTAAGGGCTGCCTGAGCGTTAAGGGGAATGTGGTCCATAGAGATCTGCAGTGCCATGGTTAGTCATTGCTGTCTTTCTCAGACGAGAGAAGGAAAATACACTAATAGGAGTTACATGGGGACACGTTCTGTATAGGTCAGCAGATTGAATGGGACAGGTAATAGCAGCGTGTCACATTGTATCTGTACATTGCGGCTCTGACATACAGTATGTATAGATTGTCTCCTAGCCCACTCTGTGAATGTGATTTGTATGTCATTGTGTCTGTGGGGTTCTCTTGAAATAAAGGTTTATCTAGTTTTTTAAAACAAGACTTAGAAACGTTATTTGCATGTAGCCGGTATTACTGCTGCTAAATTAACCACCAGTTTAGATACCCTGCGTGCAGGCACAGAGGGCAGTGTTTTTACCCTGGGAGGAGGCACAGAGAGCAGGTTATATACCCTGGGAGGAGGCACAGTGGGAAATTTATGTACCCTGGGTGGCAGCATGAAGGGCAGTTTATATACTCTGTGTGGAGGCACAGAGGGCAGTTTATAAACCCTGGGAGGAGGCACAGATGTCAGTGTATATACCCCATGAGGAGGCATAGAGGACAGGTTATATACCCTGGGAGGAGGCACAGAGGGCAGTGTAAATACCCTGGGAGGAGGCACAGATGGCAGTGTACATACCCTGGGAGGAGGCACAGAGGGCAGTGTATATACCCCGTGAGGGGGCACAGAGGACAGGTTATATACCCTTGTAGCGGAGCTGCAATATTAAATCCCAAAATCTCAGCTGGTACAGAAAGTAATCCAAAGAAAGCGCTGAAAATGAAGGCAATATCCCAAATCCCCCAGTAACCGGACGAAACACAGTTATTTATGTGGTTCCCCATGCAAGGGGTTTCCTTACTGACTTTACAGGGGTTGTACAGTAGGGGACTACATGGTGGACTTAACATATAGAACATTTCTCCCACCATGCACTGCTGTACGAGAGGGATACTCCCACTAGAATATCCTGTTAAGTGGATTATCCCTCCGTACAGCAGAACTGGCTTTTTACATAAAAATACATAACTTCTATTTTATTCATGCCACTGTACCGAATGACCATTCGGCAGATAGCTGGGGTCTGAGCGCATACTTCGTGAAAGTACCGCTCAGATCCCAGCCCAATCAGCTGAACGCCGCACAAAATATACATACATACATACATACATATATATATATATATATATATATATATATAACATACATTCCTCATAGAAGTCACTAATACATAGGTGGAGAAAAAGTACAGCAAGACTGGCGCTCCCGAACGGCCTGGAAGTCCAGCAGTGTTCGTGCCGTCAAGTAGCCGATTTTAGTTCCAAGTACTCGACAACCAAACCCCGCCGGGCAAAAAGGGAATCCAAGATGGCCTCGCCGAGAGATAGATTGTTGCGATCGGTTAATGGGAGCCACACGACTCCCTGTGTGTGTTCTCCCATTCGGTACTTTGTTTGTTTCACGAACAGTGTTGCAAATCACTGTTCGTGAAACTACCGTATGAATGCTAGCGGCTTTCGTGCCACTAGCATACAAATTCCCTCTTTCACATTTTAAACAACCACATCAATCCCTATATAAACCAGTCTTTCTAGGGCAACCCTTAAGTAAAACAAAATAGTCTGTAGTGGCTAGGTTTGCCACAACCCTTTTAGGAGGCACAGAGGACAGGTTATATACCCTGGGAGGAGGCACAGAGGTCAGTGTATATACCCTGGATGGAGGCACTGTGAGCAATACATTCCACACGGAGGAACAGAAGCTTTCCCTGTATTTCCCAATATTATAGTAGTGACAATACTAATATGACATGTATACAGCGAATGACGATACTATCTGCAAAGCATTTATTGATGCAATGGCATGCCCTATGGGTGTCAATTCGAACCAAGGAAGACAAAAATCTAATCATAAAATACCCAAAAACATAGTCCTCCAGCCTTGGTTACATCAACCCCCAAGAGCCTTTACCCCCCAACACCCATTCATTTTCCTCTCTGCCTAATTCCCCACTACCCTAAAGAGAGGCACACAGACACAATGTGTGTGATGGACGGGAGAATCCTGTGAGCAAGTGACAGAATTCTAGATCAGATGCTGTGGTCCCTCTGATCTCTTAATTTCTGGTGAAATATTTCAGTCCCCACAGATATAGATGGAGTCCGTAATCCGTGCCGGTATCAGTTTTAGTTTGCTAATTGAGCATTTTATCTGTTTGGCTCCGTACTGATTATTATAAGCAGTAGGAAGTGCAGAGAACACCTTGCCCACAGAGACACCTAGCTCCCAGCATCTGGCACATGCCATTGCCTCTGCACCAGATACAATTCAGCTGAATCATATTACTGAGCGGATAAAAGTTTCTGTACAGATTGCAAATCAGACTCGGAATACTCTCTCAATGTGATGCCACGGGACCAGGTATAAAAACAATCAGCTTCACAGGAGGAATGCCCACCTAACACTATCATAATGGGCATCGCAATTAACAGCCCCCCGAGGCTATAATTACCCAATAACAACCCCCTGACACTATCATTGTGGGCATCCCCAATTAACAGCCCCCTGACATTACAATAATGGGAATCACCCATTAACAACCCCACTGGCACTATCATAACATACATCACCCGATACAGCCCCCCTGACATTACAATAATGGGCATCACCAAATAACAACCCCCCTGACATTACAATAATGGACATCGCCAATTAACAACCCCCCTGACACTATTAAAACAGGCATCTCCCAATAACAGCCCCCCTGACACTATCATAGTGGGCATCACCGTTTAACAGAACAAGGAATAGAGCAGCTCTAAACAAACTAAGAACACTGGGATGGGAGGCAGCACACCTGATAATAGGGGAATACCTCCAACCCCCAAGAAAACTAGAACAAGTAAGTCAATATACAGGAAGCGCCAAAAAATAAATAAATACTCCAAACACAACAGTATATAGTAATAAGAAAAATAAAATCAATAAAAAAAAACACAGGATATAAAAAGTGCTCAATAAAACTTAAAAGAATAAAAAATACCAAATGGTACGGCACAGTCTCGAAGCTGGCAATAGATCTTCTAGTCCTGGTATGGGACTTTGTTGGTAGCTTCGCTCAACAGCAGAATATGAAAAGGAACCAAAAACAGAGACAAACCAATAGTGCAATATGGTAGTACGTAGCAGGACAAACGACACTTCGATAAGATGTCAACTCACATATGGTAGAGCTATAACCAGCTCTAGGTAAAACAGCATGTAGTGGTATACAATGCCCAATTGCAGGATATCTCTCTGGTTTTGGTACACAGTAGAATGATGGTAAATCACAACTCTATAACGATGAGGCAGATCATATGGAATGACAAAAAGCAGCCACTAGTGCTCTCTATAAGGTAGATAGGCAAGTATCAATAAGGTAAATAAAAATATACTTACAATAGAATGAGCAGAATAACCGCTCTATGTATCAAGCCTGGGTGGTATAATCCCCACCATGATACTACAGTTAAAACCAGCAGACAAAGGGGGAGTAACCCTGCCGACTGCAATCCCACGAAACTCCGAGCAGCAACCTGCGACTCTGGGACGGGCCTCAGGAGAGAATTGGAAAGCAGGAAGAAGGAGACGGGCAGGTAGACGACAGCCCCAGTACCTTAATCGCCGAACAGTGGTGGGTCACTCAATGCCTCAACGTGGACTCACCACATGGTCACCCCCTCAGCGCCCCTTACCTCACCAATTTGCTCAACGAAGGCGAAGAGTGCGGTACCCACAAGGAGGAAAGCACCAGAGCCACCTCCAGTCTAGCCCAAACCCCCTACACGCTACAGGGACTGGTCCGAAAAAGCTACATACCTCTGTGCAAACACCCACATGGAACACCCGCACGCTGCCTCCCTGGGAAGCCTGGAAGCAGTCTCCATCGACCGAAGGGGTCCGCGGACTCGCTCCCCGCCCTGCACCAACCTTGCTCGGATCGGATGAATGGAGAAAAGGGCCCCCAGAACATGAAAGGCTTGACCACACACTGACAGACACTATTTACCTGTGGCAACACTACCCGAGTGACCCGTGATACACGATTAAGGCTTAATTTAAGGGTTATGTTTTTCTTTTTTCTTTTTCTCCTCTTTTCACATTTCCCTAACCATACTCTTAAAGCATGTGCAATAAGGGGAGGAGCACAGGGGGCTGACATCGGTAGTTCAACTCGTTAACCTAACTATGTTCATGTTTAAGTATGCACTGGTTATGATGATTAGCAATAGTGAGCGAGAGCCATGAATCTAACATCTGAGATAGGATACCCGAAATACTAACCAATGTGTCCAATCACTTTTTCTCTGTTATCTCTGTTGACAAGCTAACCTAAACCTTAGACATGCATACTCAGTATACAGGATAGTCTCCTCTACTTGCTCCATGGCTCATAAATGCTACAGCAATATAGAAATAACCGAAGCCCTATAATCCAGTGGTTGTCTCACTTTGCATGTATATTTCACACCTAACCCATAGGTACGCCTGAGGGTCACCATCCATCTATGTATAACCTCTGACGCACAGGTTAGATTAGAATCCCGAGTTACGCTTGTTTGTATCTGGTTACGTAAACCTGCAGACTACGCTATATAGCATTTTACCTACCTAGCCTGCGACCTATTACCTCTACTAAATATAAAACTGTGCAAGAACTATCGCATACCCCAATGTTACTAATGTCGAAAAAAAGCATGAGGATTGCCGTTGGGGTATCCCATGCAAGTTTGTTATGTTCATATGCACTGCAAAAAAAAAGAATAAAAAAAAAAAGAATCACGTAGGCTAGTCTGTGTTTGGGACCAATATGGCGAAGTTAAAGCCACATTCCAATCTGTGTTACATTTCTATGAAGCCATACTAGCATTGAGAGGGATTAGCAGGTCACAGGATTAGACAGGAATCAGTACGGTGGAATAAAACCCTCTGCCAACTGATGTTGAAAGTTTACTGGGTCTGTAGTACAGACAGAACGGCCGTCAGACGATAAGATTATCTTCATCAGACCACACACTAACACAGTCACTTCAGGTCACCTGGACAGACGGACAGCAGCTCAACAAAAGCACACGGCGCATGCTGCTATCAAGGATATAAGAGTTATGTATCTTGAGATCTGTGTATTAGGACTGGTCGACATGTCGTGGTAAATGTACAGGGGTACAGGTCTGTCTATATTAGGAGTGTTAGGGGACAGGTCTGTCTGTGTATTACGAATGTTAGGGGTACAG